TTATGCATGGTATTTATAGATCGACCAGCCAAAGATTGCTAGGGACGAAAGGGGGAAATGCGATGAAAAAACCTTACCATTAGACGATTTTATATGGAGTCATAGGCGGAGATCGGAGAGACTTGAATTATTAATTGAATTTATATTTTATTACAACTGGTAGTATTAATATTTTTTTGCGATTCATAATGACGTGATACCAAACATACATTATAAGAAATAAATATACACAAACACTGAATATTGAGAACAAAATAAATATATTTTTTAGGCAACAAGTAATATTCCTATGTACGCATTATGATTGAACAGCAAAACAAATTATGCATTCTTCTAAAATAGAATACAACAAGTCAAAAATATCTGACTGAATAGAAAAATATAGGAAAACAAAAAGTAATTTCTTGATGAAATAACCCATAAACAACACATAGAATTAGACTTTCTACTGAGATACTAAAAGCCACAAACCAATAGTATAATAAATGAATATCTAAAAATTCTAAAAGGTAGCCAATCTAGTATAGTTTCAATCCTGATTAGAGTCATGATCACTGTCTGAGGAACTGTCATTGCTATCACTTTCACCTCCTATGTTGATTATTATTTCTTCCTGTATTTCTTGAATGAGACTGTCTTTTTCCCAATATTCATCTTCAATTTTTATAACATGTCCAATAACCTTTTGCCAGTCACTGGCACTTACTGAAGCGATGGCCTTATTAGAAATTTCATCTAGTTTTTTTATAGTAAATTCGCCGCTTGTATTATGGCTTCTAATGAAAAATTTTACTTGTGCCCAAATCATCTCTATGGGATTAAACTGACACATATAGGGTGGCGTTCGAAGTGGGGTGTGTCCGAAACTTCTTATTAAATTATCTATCTTATAATTTTTCTCATCAGATGGTGGCCTATGTAGACAAGCTATTTCATAAAGCTCCATTTTTTTAGCATTAGGATCATGCTCTATACCTTTTTTGCTCAACCACGTGATGATGTCTCTTTTTAGAGAAGATCTAGTTGGAGGCTTGTCTTCCAAAGCTGAATGGTAAGGTGCATTATCCATTATTATAATACTATTAGGAGGAATGTTAGGAAATAGTTTTTCAGTAAGCCACTTCGTGAAATTTTCTTGGTTCATTTGACCGTGATAATCACCAGTGGCACAGCCAGCCTTGAAAATGAGACAGGCTCCAGGAACAAAACCATCTTGCGAACCCGCATGAACAATTATAAGTCGTCCTGGAAATGAATAAATAGCCTCATTTTAGTGTTATTTTAAGTTTGCCAACACCTTTTTGAATCACTATGTATAAAAAACATATTTTTGAGAAAAAAATACTTGCAAGGGATTATGTATTCAATTAGACAAATTAAATGAGCACTTATTAAGAATATTCCAAAATTGAGAAAAATGTATAATAAGCAAAATCGAGGTGAAAGAAACTTTATTACCTGTAGAACTTATATTGCTCAGGACACCCATAATTTCTTCGCTTTGCCAGCATTTCTTGAAAGTGAGGTCATTATCAACCCAAGTTTCGTCCAAATAAATAATATGCCTTCCTTCTTCCCGGAACTTTTTAATAGACCTAAGATACTTGTATCGCCAATGTAAAATACTGGGTCTTTCCATTAGTAATTTCCTTTTGTTGTGGCATTTACGCCAGTAAAATCCTTTTGCTTTTAAAAGCAGCCTCAACGATTCTTTACCAAATGGAAATTCCATTTCTTCCTTCAGTTTGATTAGAAGTTTACTACAAGTAGGTACCACTTTAAAATCACAGTAAAATTTTTCTATCATTCTCCGAATAATGGAAAAATCGACTCCATCAATTTTTTGGATCACAGAAGGGCGTGATCTCTTTTTTCCGGGAGAAGCTAAAGGCTGTGTGGAGGTTGCATTTTGCCTGTCTTTATCTTCTTTTCTAATTTTACTTATAGTTCGTTCACTAACACCCGTATAATATGCCGCCCTTGCATTTCTAGCTACCAGTGGATAAACGAAAGTATTGTTAGCCGCTTCTGCATCGCAAGCACGTATCACGTTTGCTATTATTTCCCTTGCCTGGCTGTGAATAACTTTCCCATGCTTGAATTCCATTATCACCACTAAACAGTAAATTATATTTTCAAAGTATTTGCCAACTGCCTACGCCTATGGGAGTAGGTTTATAAATGACCGTGCCATCGGCACGTTATTCTAGTTTCAGATAAGATAAGAGTTTTGGACCAATCAGCGACCGGATGTTTACCTGCGGCCTGGGTTTTCCAGCTACATTGCCAAATTCAGCGGAACAATTCTATATCTTAAATATGTTAATATGTATGGACCGCATTTTATGTAGAACATCTGACAACTTCGCAATTTTTTGTCCGCATTCTTTCGGCTTGCAATCTTTCGCTGGTCCAACTATATTTTACAGAATTCATACAGAAAAATGCATTCTAAAATTAGGTAAGCTACTGGTGTAAGCTTTTTCTGTACAATAAAGTTAGTCGGAGTTTCTTTCTTCAGCGCTGTCTGAATCTGAATCTTCATCACTCTCAAAGTTGATTATTAAAGGTTCGATGTCTGGTCGATCAAAAATTCGTTCTCTTTCATACCATTTAAAAATTTCTTGCTCAGTATGTCGAACACTATTTTTCCACATGTCTGGGGTAACCGTTTGTAGAGCCTCGTTCCACATATCCAAACAGTCTTTTTCACTGTTACCATCTCTACCAATATGTCTGTTATAGTAACCTTTTGCTATGCCCCAAATTAACTCAATAGGGTTAAATATACAATGGTAAGGAGGCAGACGAAGAACTTTGTGCCCATGTTGTTCCGCCAATTCATCAATCACGTATATTTTAGGTGGTTTGTTTCTAAAAAAGCAGTTATTTTAAGAATAGGAATAAACAAAAGAAATATAAACTGTCGACCAAAATATATATAATTAAGAAGCATTATGTACCGAGCAACAATACTCAATAGCTCTGTTTTAAACATTGTGTTTAAAAATGGTATGTTTTGATTTGTCAACCAGTCTTGGATATTTTTTTTGTCCATGCATTGTTGGGCACTTTGTTCAATATCATGCTGTGATAAGGGGCGTTATCCAGTATAATCATAGATGGACTCTCCAATTTTTCTAATAACTGATGTTGAAACCATTTCAAAAAATTGTCCTGGTTCATCTCTCCATGGTAATCGCTCAATTTTGTTTTCGAAGAAAATATCGCTTCACTACCCTCAATAAACCCATTTTCATTTCCAGCATGTAATATAATGTATCTAAAATATATTAGTTTTAAATTTTATAGTGCAAATTGTGTAAAAGTACATACCTTTTACCATCTGTTTTAATAGCTTTCACGCTTTTTTGGTTTCCATTTTGCCAAGAGCGACCTATGGTGCCATTTTGAAATATCCAAGTTTCATCGAGGAAGACAAACTGGTATAAGGCCTCAACCTTGGCTTGATTGTATTGCCTTAGAAATTCCACCCTTTTCAAAGCTATACTTGGTAGTTCCATGAGCCCTCGTCGCGGATTGTCCTTAAGCCACTTAAATCCAAGATCTCTAAGCAACCGCCTTAAAGACGTGGCACTACCATCAAATAATGCCCTATCTCTTAATCGAGACCATAAAGTTTGTATCGTAACTTGTTCTTCTGAAACCATGTGTAATATGACATTATAATTTAGTTAACAAATTAATGCAAATTTCTGATAAGTTATTATAATAAGATCTTACTTTTGTGATACATATTATAGATCACTTCTCGAATGGCACTTGTATCCAATGTCGCTGTGTTGGTTACACGTTTAATATAACTCCGCTTTTTCTTGGGCGATTCTAAATTTGCATCACTTTTCACACCCTCGGAAATACGACTAACTGTCCTTAAACTAATTTTTAAAGCAGCAGCAACACGCTACAAAAAATGAAATAAAATTTCACTATTATTAATATACATTACATATAATTATTAGTAACCTACCTCTTGAACAGCATTTAAAGGCAACAAAGGCCCGTTGTTGTCCCTTTCTTGCTCAAAGTAGTGCATTAACGAGAGCACGAGTTCCTTACACCGACTATTTAACTGTTTGGGCATCTTTATATACCAAAATTGCCTTTATCTACTCGTAAAATGAATAATTTTGTTTTGAAACAAACAGTTGTTGATTTACAGTATGCGGGGCCAAAGGATTTATAAAGATTTGAAATGCCACAAATTGATTCAGTGTCAAAATTAATACAAATGTCAGTTCCCAGTTTAAATAAGTTTCAAGGTGACAATGTGTCAACGCTGCGAAATCGGTTTAGTGCGTTTACATGTCGATAAGTGATTGGAGCGTTTGCAAAACATTTTATTTCGCATAATGCGTCTAAATTTATCAGAAAGCAACTTATGTGATATTTTAATAACAATGTTTATATGACTATTAACCATAATAAGAGAGTAATGACCATTTTACAATTTATATATCACATTAATATGAAACTGCAATAGAGCAATTGTTTGTGATAGAAACCTAGGCATTAGGTCGGGGAATTTTTATCGTGATGACGTGCACGCCACTTTGTTTGGCGTTGACTATATATCACAGCAAATACAATGCAATTATATCAAATTATTTTGAACAGGTTCTAAAAAATGTTGCACTAAATTTGTTCATACAAAATTATGCACTGAACTCTGTGTGGTACTATCCTTAATTTTTTACGAAATTTAGCGTACTAAATTCAGCACAAAATTTCGAATTACGCAAACGATTACACAGGGTCAACCCCACGACACTATTACTCATGGCAGCTTTTCGCAGGGTGTGCAGACTTTTCAAGGCGATATAGAAATTCGTACAAAAATTCAGCGTACTTTTTGGGGAATTGCGCTCCTATGTAGTTTTGCATATATTATGGTGTAAACAGAGCAAGTATTTGCTTCATCAAAGCTATACATAAATGTCAGAGAATAGCGCCCAATGGACAACACTTTGGATCTCTACCTTCCCTCACTCGGCTGCACTAGATTCGTGACCAAAAACATAACGGCATTAGGATCCTTCATGAAACCAATTAATTTTTCAGCAGCTTCTTTTCGAGCTTGGCTTAATGCCACGGTTTCGGGAATATCTAGTTTCTTCAAAAATGTTAGAAGTTGTGGTATTTGTTTCATTCCATTACTGGTGGATATAGGGGATGCGTCAGCTACGATGAGCTTTTCAACTAAATCCGGCTAGAATAGAAAGATAAACTAAACATCAACTTGTAGAGTCTGTGGTACAACCTGCGTATTCTTTTCCAATGAGTGTTCAAGGTCCTTCATAAACCATATCATACTGGGATCGTATCCAGCACGAGAAGTAGCGACCTATCGACCATTTTCTATATTATAGTAGGAATTTATAAAATCACTCACAGTGTCAAAGATATTGAACTGTTGATTTTTTGCTTTCCGCGTGTTAGCGTGACTGCTAAAATAATCCCCTGAATGAATCCTAATGACCTGTGTTTGACGAGTTACAATTATACTGCAAGATGTGCCTTCATTTTGTCCTGTTTATAACACTTGATAAAAATGTGTATCTTCTAACAACTGTGCGACTGGTTGTTCAACATTTCGGCAGCCCAGCACCGAAATTTCGATCACTCAGAGCACTTTTATAAATTTGCATTATACTATAGAAAGAATGTTACCCATATGGAATAACGAGTATGATAACCTTTGCTAAAAGACATCGACCTCCAAACCAAATACATTGAAAAGTAAATTATGGCTTTCCAACAACTTATGCAATAATGTTTCGATGGAGTTCAAGTTTAATATGATCATTTTTTAAATATTTTCAACAAACTAAACATACATATTTCAAAGCGAACAACATGGCAGTACTTCCGCCCATTGAGTGTCCCAACAGGTTACACTTCTGCATTCCCATTTTATGTAAAAATTGCCTAATATCCAACACCAGACTATCATAAGTATGGTTTTTCGAATGCGGTGAATCGCCGTGATTCCTAGCGTCCACCGCTACCACTTTAAACTTGCTCAGCTCGTGGCACTTCTTGCAAAAACTGTTCCAGTTATTCTTCGAGGACATGAAATCGTGCAGGATCACAACTGGCGTAGGTTCGGGATGTGTTTCGTTGAATGATTGCGTGGACTGATAGGAAGCGTACGCCAAATCTATATTTTCCACTGGCATTATATATTTTGCTGGCAATAAATTATTCCTTATGATGTTGATGACTGTTTTGTTTAAATTTTTGGTTAAAGTTTGTATGGGTTGATGAGAGAACATTTTTGATGGACTGACAAGAATTTATTGACAGTGATTGATAAGTACAGGCATAGTGGGTGCTCTTTGCAGGAGATCACTGCAAGGAATAATCAGATTAATGTCACTTTACAGTCCACAATGACCCAAGTTAGACCAATATGCGCCACTGCCAATGCAACAACTAAACAATACACTACCAAAAAATGAAGGGAGCAATCATACACTACTCAAAAAATGAAAGGAGCAGTAAAAATCCAAATTTTTCGGTGATCTTTGACAGGCTATATTTCGGTGAAAAATGGTTGTATTGAGACTTTAAAAAAGCATTTTAAAGCTCTAAGAAGAACCTTCGTTTTGAGGTTTTCTAGCCGAAAACGTTTAGGTGCAACGGTACTCATACATCTGATACGGCAAGAAATTTATATGGAAAATGTTTCACTTTATCCGTTTAGTTCACGAGCTTTATTTTTTTTCTGTTAGGTCATCATATGGATCGGATAGCCCTATTATTCAGCTTCGATATTCTGTTTTTAAAACCTCGATACGATCTTTTGGCGCGAAGATATCCGATTTTGAATGAAAAAGGATCCTTTTGATATCTCGGTATCCCGTGATCGCACACAAGATGTAAGGATATTTTCGTAAACAGTAATAAACCTCAAATAAAATTTGATTGAAATCTTTGAAATTTTTCTTTGTTTACTTAGTAGTGATTTTAAAAAAGTAACTTTTTGCCTTTTTTGTAAAATCTACCACATGTTGGATCTGTTAATGACAAGGCTGTTTTTAGGTACCTCAATGTACCCCTAATAACCCTACACAGCGGCAGATCGGTCGATTCTAGTATTTCTCCGGACCGATTGATCCAAATTTGAAAGAAATCGAGCAAAAATTTTCTATCAAAACATCATGTAATCTGGTTGATAATGGAAAAATCATTTTTCTTCTTTTGTCGTCACTATTGTATATCCGTCACATCTTCAGTTTTGAGATTATTCCAGTTCTCGAAAATTCCCTGTGCGATCACTGGTTACAGAGACATCAGTGGTTGCTGATTAAAGGATCTTTGTTCATTCAAATCCAGATATCTCAGAGCCAAATGATCGTAACGAGATTTTAAAAACATATTATTGAAGCTGAATAAACGAACCATCCGATCTACATGATTTTTTCAAGCCCGTGTTCTAAAAATAAAAAGAATGCATACATTTTGCAAAAAATGTTTTTTGCTCGATTTGAAAAAAATTGCTCCTCAAATTGTTCGGCTAAAAAACTTGAAAACAAGAATCTTAAACCTTCAAAATCATTTCTTTAAAGTCTAGATACGACCATTTTCACCGAAATATAGCTTCTCAACAATCACCGAAACATTTGGAAATTTTTTCAATAAAATTTTCTTCGTCCCAGCCACGTTTTTTTTTTATTTATATTCCAACTACCACGAAGGCCTAAGGCCTAAGCGCCCATTGGGTACCGTGGAGCTATAGGGGGATACATGGGAAAGGCCAAGTAAGATAGCAGTAACTCCCTTAGAAGTAATGAAAACTGACTCCTTTATCCATTTAGAAAAAAATGAGTAGGTTCCCTACGGCCGGTTTTCGAGAAATTACAATTTTGATAAAAAAAAGAAAATCCAAGTATTTTTTATAAATAAAATAACTATACGATTTGACCACAAACAGCACTTGTAAGAACCTCCTCCTGGCCAGTGTCAAGGTCAGTTCAAAGCCACCTTCATGTGAAATTTCGAAATTTACGAAGTAAGGGCCGTATCGTCAGTCGTTCCTACAATTATTGTAGGATTTTATGGCCTCCTTGATTTTCTGTCTTTTTCCGCTTCAGAACGTCTGGAATATTTCTAGATTTCTACAGCATCGTGTCAGCGACAGCGCTCTTCTATTGCCAGGCTATGTTTTCTTCTTGAATTGTAGGAAATTTCGGGCTATATAACAGATGATATAAATCAAAAGCATGAACAATTTGATGGAAATATACAGGGTATACTTGTAATGTCAGGTATTCCTGTTAAGAGGTGATAGATTAGGTCAAAAGCAACGGATTTTGTCCTATCATGTCTTATCCAAAAGTTAACCATTTTTGAGTTATTTGAATTTTAAGTTTTTTATTTTTTATTCCGATTTCAGACGGTTAAAATTGAAATACAAAAAACTGCATGCTTGATTGTGAGTTTTTTCTTATCGTCGCATAGCAGACATTCAATAGTTCATAATAAGTAATACAATGTTGAAAAGCTACAAACGTTTTAAAATTACGCTTTTTAAATGTATCATTTTCTTTTTTTACTAACTTGCTCGATAAAAAATGCAATTTTCTGTAAAAAATGTCCCAGTAATGAAATGTGCAAATTATGTAAATAATATCTCTATCTAAGAAGCTTTCATTTGAGGTATTAAGCGTTCAATTATCTGAAGTACATGCAGAGAAACAACAATGACACCCACAGAGGCTGGATTTTTAAGGAATTTGTATTACCTGTTTGAACAAGTCGTTACTGTCCTCAAAGGACTCGCATGACATGATTGTTTTAGGGCATCGGCTCGACGAGGAAGCGAACGAGAAGAGCTGACTTAGTGGAGGAGTGAGAGAGAGAGAGAGAGCTGTTATTATTCATCATTGTAGTTACGCCATCACCGCACGCCGAGTGAGAATTAGGTTTAGTTGGTATCAACTACTGCGTACGCGCACACGTTTTACGCACGATTATTATTTTCGGGTTTCCTAGTTCATTTCGAGTGGTTTTTTTATCATCATGGCAGACGCAGAAGATCCGCCAGGACCTCGCCATAGCGAGCACGGGCAAACAAATGAAGACTACGCAGACATATTGTTCTGTTATGGACTTTGTAACGGCGATTCTGCAGCAGCCCGCCGTGAATATCGGCAACGTTTCCCGAATCGCCCAACACCTCATATTACTGTGTTTGACTCTGTGTATCGGCGCATCCGCCAAACCGGACGTGTTCAAAGGCAACATAGTGATGCTGGTCGACCCCGAGTCTATCCACCTGAAGATGAAGAGGAAATCCTTCGTGTGTTTCAGGAAGACCCTACTACGTCTACGCGCATTGTGGCTGCTCAGTTAGGTATATCACAATACAAAGTATGGTTTACTGTGCATACTGCAAGATTATACCCTTATCACTACACGCCTTTGCATGTGATTGAAGAGGGCGATCCTGCAAGGCGATTAGATTTCTGCTGGTACGTTACATGCAGATACAGAAGATCCAGACTATTTTAAGAAAATTCTGTGGACCGATGAATCGAATTTTGATAAGGACGGGATCACTAACTACCATAATGCTCATTACTGGACTGATAAAGAAGCTTTAAACCCCCGAAACATAAGACCGACGGGGTCTCAGAGCCGGTTTTCAGTCAATGTGTGGATGGGCATCATTGATGGATATTTTTAATTGGACCCCATTTTCTGCCCGCCAATTTAAATGGAGAAGTGTATGAAGAGTTCTTGAAAAATCACTTGTTTCCATTAATGGAAGACGTCCCATTGGCGACGAGACAAAATATGCGATTCCAGCACGACGGCTGTCCCGCAAACTACAGTAGATCAGTACGGACGTATTTAGACTCTAAATTTCCAAATCAACGGATTGGCAGAGGCGGGCCCATTGCCTGGCCAGCAAGAAGCCCAGATCTCACACCGATGGATTACTATGTGTGGGGACATATGAAAAGCGATGTTTCGCCCGTACCAACGCTCGATGAATTAATTACAAGGATAATCAGTGCAGCTGACCAAATAAAAAGCCGCCTAACAACTAGAGTTACCAAAAGTGAATTACGTAACAGAATGCGGGCGTGTATTCCTAACAGGGGATTACAATTTGAGCAGAATCTGTAAAATACTAAAGGAAATGTAATTAAATCAAACTGTAATTAAAATAAAAATCTTTTATTTATCCTACGTAATTATCGTTCGTACAACTTTTTTTAATTTTATGTCTTTGTACTTGAGTTAGTTGTAACTTTTATACCTCAAATGAAAGCTTGTTAGATAGAGATATTATTTACATAATTTGCACATTTCATTACTAGGAGATTTTTTACAGAAAATTGCATTTTTTATCGAATAAGTTAGTAAAAAAAATAAGAAAATCATACATTTCAAAAGCGTAATTTTAAAACTTTTGTAAGTTTTCAACATTTTATTACTTATTATGAACTATTGGAATGTCCGCTATGCGACAATAACAAAAAACTCAAAATCAAACATGTAGTTCTTTTGTGTTTCAAATTTAACCGTCTGAAATCGGAATAAAAAAAATAAAATTCAAATAACCCAAAAACGGTTAACTTCTGGATAGGACATTATAGGACAAAATCGGTTGCTTTTGACCTAATCTATCACCCCTTAACAGGAATACGTGACATTACAAGTCACCCTGTATATTTGTAACATAACCTCAAAATAGAGCGCTGACACGGAAGCTTTGAAAATCAAGAAAGCCATAAAGGCGTCCTACAATTATTGTAGGAGCGACTGAACGATAAGGCCTTTAGTAATCAAGATGTTTGAAGGCGCCGAACTCTGGTTCCCTGGTTAAAGTTAACTACTGTTTAGAGCCTAACAATTGAAAACGCTTTTTGAGGTTCAACTTCCGGTTATTGGTTAGACTTGAGTTAACCTGCTTTCTGAAAAACCGGGCCTTAATGATACGAAGATCCTGGGAACATATCACTTTGAAAATGGTTCCATTCCAAGCGCATTCGACGAGCCGCAAAACACGTCAAATACTGTCAGAAAGCTAAGAGAACACTTTCTATCTACTCCCTTCCCCGATCGTTTTCGACATTTGACTCCCTGATGGAATATATTAATCAATAATATGGATTTATGTATCATATTTATAGTTTTGTGGTGCAAGTTAAGTTTCAGAGTATAGGATATATTTCTCCAGTAACTTTTTGACAGCTTAGTATTAAAATCAAAATATTTTTCAACAGATCAGTCTAATGTCAATAAATATGATATTTGATTGTTTCACGCTACACACGATCCTGAATCAGACCAAGCAGCATCTCATTTACTCCCTTCAAAACAAAGATCAACGCGTGATGTTCAAATTTGCGCGCTCCTATTGACCAGCAGTTCATGAATGCCGGGGCAGGCAGCAACAAGTGAATCAGGTTTGAGGAACTCAAATTAACAGAAAAGAATAGCACACTGATTCACATTTTACAAAAACTTACACGACAAAGTCTGATTCTTTCCCTGCTACAAAAAGAACAGGCCCGTCATAGCAAACATCATTTACTATTGGAAATCTGGCAACGTTGTTGAAATTTTTCATCAACACTGGAATGTTTATCCTCCATGTATAGCTGAAAATGCATCTACTTAGTGCTTTGAGTTCATATATCATACTTTTTAAGTAAATTCAATTAAAATTCCTGTGAAAATTATTGAACTTCATAAGTTAGAGATGCACTAAAAAATGTATATTTCATTCATAATTGTCAATTATTAGTGACAATTAGTCACAGTTGTTTAAGACAGTCAATGATCAATTTTTAGCATTCTGTAAGTGTCACAATTGAAGACACAAGTGGGCAGTGGCGAAGCGTCCATGTAACCATTGTTACCATTGGTAACAGTTAAAAATCTTAAAAATAAATATTTTATGACTAAGTACTGTGAAATAATTTTATTTATTTGTTTACCAACAGCCATATGTAATAGTAATTCAGTAAATAGCAAATTAGCCCCACGAAAATAATGCGTCCTATAGTGTCTAGGTTTTGCGAACACGATGAAGCTGACTTGATTGTCGGTTGTTACCATTTTCATTTATGGATACACTTGGTAGTCTTTCGGGGACCGTCGGAACCGACTCGTGTCTGATCGCGGTCGCCCTAGTGCGTGGGGCGCTGCGACTATTATGTGGGCTTATACCATTTTTTGATTTGGTTACTCATACTCACTTCTCACTCGTTAATAGCCGTTTTGGTTACCGGCTGTAGTATGCGTGCAATTAAACATGGATGAGTGTCGCTGCGTAATCGATCAACTGCTCGAAAAGTGATTCTCCTTGTATAATTTTTGGGAAAAAAAGGAGATCATTGAAAATGGAAGACCGACGCCTATTTTAGATGATTTTAAAAAGGAATAAAAAAACGTAGTTTGATATTTTAAATTAAGTTGGTATATGGAAACTCTTGTTTATGTGGTTATGTGTAGCCAATTTAATTCAGTTTGGCAAAACAAGGATTGAAAGTTGTCTTAACCAAGCTTTTAGGCAGCACACGTCTAAATACCATATGTTTTTTGGCAAAACAGGAATTACCGTTCATTTTGAAGAGGATGACTCTGACAATACAGGAAATTACAGGGAATTGTTACGATTCATTATGTATAAGCATAAGTGCCCCAGACGCTCAGTCCAGGAATGTTTACCTTAATTTAAAAATAGTTTAAATAAACTACCTCAAATAAGCAACAACTTATATTTGGGAGGTTCAAAATAAACTTTTTTTAATAAGATTTTTCACATCTGGTTTTGGTAACAGTTGAGTAAAAGTCACGCGTTGCCACTGCCACTGCAAGTGGGTAAAGGTGTTATGTAACAGTTAAATTGCTTGTTTAAATGTTTAAAATTTCAATAATGTGAAAAGACCCAATAAAAAATGTTCATAAGTCAATTTCCTCCATACACTGATTTTGTTACACAACACCTCCATCCACTTGTGTCTTTAATTTGCAGTTAATTGTGAGTTGTAACAATCTTCTACCTGAGAACTATGGCTAATTGTAACTTATACCAGCTTTATAAATAAAATATATACTTTTCTCAATGTCTTTTCCAACACGTTGTGGTAATGTACAATGAGAAACAATATTTTCAAAAGCAGCATGCTGTTTCATTTGATAATCTTCACCTTCCACTGTCTGTTGCAACCAAATTTGTTAACAAAAATGCTCTCAGTGGTTTATTAAAGATATATTTTGTTAACTGTTCATCCACCATTGCCCGTGCCTGTGACATTGGTATACTAGATGGTAAAGTCACACCTTCCATGGCTTGAAAAAGGGAAGGCATACTATCCAAGTTTGGGCTTGTCGTTATTGGTGAGATGTCTTCCACGATTAACCTATCAACAAGTTCAGGCTAAAAATAAGATATATGGAACACAGTACTCAAAACTGCTTAATATTAAGTCAAGCTATATTAAACTAATTCAATAGCAGACTGTGAATTGTTTACCTACGTATTTCAGTGCAAACAGCATCACAGCTCTTCCTCCCATGGAATGTCCCAACAATGCTGCTTTTTCTATCCCCAACTGCTCGAGAAGTGCTTTGATATCGGCTGCCAAGTGGGCATATGTGTGTTCATCGGAATGAGGACTATCACCATGATTCCGAGAATCTATAGCTACGATTTTCCTTTGGGGATGACACTTTTGTTGATACACCTTACAAAGACTATTCCAGTTCGATTTAGAACCGAATAATCCATGCATTATCACTAATGGGGCCGCTTGATTAGACCTATCTGAAGTTGTGCTCTCATATGTTGCATATGAAAGTTTCACTGGTTTTAGCGTATCAGCATTTGATGACTGCCTAAAAATAATATTTGAACTTAGAGATATTTGAGGTACGGACTTTAATAGATTGTAAGCTATAACTTTTGTAAAAAGCATGATTTAAATTTTAAAATGATTTTTATGTAATAGATTATCTTGTCCTGTCTGTTCTTTGGTTAAGTGTTTTGTAGTGGTTGTCAAGAATACCAAAAACTATAATTTGAACTGGAAGTTAGGTTTTACAAGTATGAAGAGGTATCTGCCATTATAGACCTCTTTCCTATAGGCTTGCTTCAATAAGGGATTTCCAAAGGTGGGTAAAACATGCATATAAATTTTGAAGAAATGGGAGATTGCTGAGCTGCTATTTAAAATACACTATTCCAGTGTAGAAAGGTGGAACCACAGGGAGGAACTAAGGACTAACAATGGCGAAGAAAGGTTCGCAGAGTGAGACTTGTCGTTGTCATTCTGCTCTTTTTCGAGTTCTATGGTATTATATAACTTGAAGGTTGCTGTATGTTAATTCGTGCTGCTTGTCAAAAATTCAACTTGAAAAGAGGTTAAGTTTAAAATTATGGCATTTTTGAAAATAGTGTGATTACGTATAAGAAAAGTAATATTTCCAATCCAGTATCGGTCTAGAATGAAATGAACTTCAAGCTGTAACTTTTCACTAACAAAATACTGAAGAAGACATTTCAGCCGGGTACTAAAAATGTTCAAGTTGATCCGCCAGGTTGCTACGAATTGCCAAAAGATGGGATTTTACACATCTCTAAGCCGCTACAGTAACGGTTCTCCTTCAGCCTCTGCAGAGCTGAAAAATATCCTACCAGCGGAAAATGACATGTCAGAAACTGAGAATAAGACACAAAAAAGTAAAGTTGTATTCCATCCAAAAAATTCTATGGTAGCTGCTGCATTTGCTTCTCTGCATGAGAATCTCCCCAGTGACATCAAGACTCCATTTACAGATAAGAAACTTGATTCTGCTAATACAATTGAAGAGCTTTTATCAGTATCAGAAGGTAGTGGAGTCTCAAGAAGGCATGCATTGAAGGTATTACATTTTGTATTGTACCATTCCAAGCTATTTATCATTGACATTTTCGAAAAGAGATTCAGTCTAATTTTAATTCTTTACCCATTTTACTGGTAATCTGAAATTACCATGATAATTTATTGTTAGGTATAGTCACACACGCCTAATGGAAACATTCAACTTGTATTGTGGGATTTGTATCAAGCACAGTAAAGGTTCTTTTGCAGAATACCATCAAATACTGAGACATTGGAGCTGCTCATTTATTTGGAACTAACAATGCTATTATGATCCATATTTATCCTAGTGTATAGGTGAAAAATAGAAAGATCATTCATATTACCCATATTATATTGGTATATTATAAGCAATTACTCATTTCCTGGAAGGATAACCACTATATATAAAAACCTTATATGACAAGTATTATACAGTGTTAATCAATTATGTTACCAAACTGAATGCTGTGTGATTAGACTAATAGGAGGCTAGAAATGGTGTATTTTTTAATTCACCCGTTGAGCAACGGGTGCCACCGGTGGACCAGACATCTGTCCTTTTAATTCAACCGATTGCTGCCATCACCATACAAAGCTGTCAACAGTGTCAACCATAAGCAGGGCATCCATCAGTGGTGGAATCAACTGGTGAATTAAAGAATCCACCTAAAGTTACAGGTCCAATTTCCATTGGGTAAGCATCAAGTCAGTGTTTACCATTTATACTACCTATGATGATTGGTGGTAACATACTGTATGACAGCTGAGGGACATCTTATATTCACTATTACTTAATAAAAGAAAATAATAAAATAGGGATTAGATTTAAGATAAATCTGGCTACAAAGGTTTAAAACAAATAAGAGCTCTTAAAATTTGATTCATATCTCACTCCTTGTTCAATGTAAGTCCAGATTGATTTGAATAATAAACATTTTCCAGGTTGTTTCTGTACTAGCAGATTGGTCTATGTCAGGTAAAGTAAAACTTAGTGACTTTGAAACAGACCCAAGATTCATAAAATTATGCAGAGTACTCGCAAAAGGCAATGGGAATAATAATAAAAATTTCAAGCAACCTATTTCTGTACAAAGCGAAGATTTATCAACAATTCTTGGAGTAGCTGCAGATGATGAAGCAGCCAAGCTGGTACAAAGTATAACTCTGCCACAAATGGTTAAGGTAAAGAAAGTCCATGTTTTATTTCCTTGAACAATTTTTAAATAAAGATATTATTCAAAATTCAGTTTGATTATTCAGTACCAGAAATTGATGTGAGACTCTTGGTGAAAGATATTTTCTTTTTGATTTGGTATATAGAACAGTTCTTGACCTCATTAATTTTACTCTTATCTTCCCTAGGTTATGTCAACTTTGGCAATCAAAAAACGCCGATCTACATTGCTATTGAGATCATTAGCATACAATATAACTGCAAATTCAGCACAGTTGGATATGAAGCAGTGTGGGGATTTGTTGTACAGTATGTCATCTCTTAATTTTATAGATGAAAATCTGCTTTCCAAAGTAGCCAATGATATATGCCTACAAATCAGGAAACCAGTAAAAAAGAGTTCTGTGATTGGATCTATTTTTACAAGCATAGGTTTACTTAAATATAAAGATCCAAGTAAGTATTGATTGTTAACCCTTAACAGGAAACGTGAATTTTTGGAATACAAAAGGAAACATGCCGTCTCTCAGACTGCAAACTTCAAGATGTTCAAAAAATTAGAGTAAGGCGAAAAGCAAGCAATAACTTCGCTGAAACTGATACTGGATGTTTATTTTATGTGTTTAATACGTAAAATGCTCATTTCAAAATGATACAAGAACATAAAAGAGACATTTTTATTAACTATGCTAAAACCATACAAAAATAACGCTGTTGTTGCAACATTCAGAAACTAAATTAAAACTATGGAAAAGTCTCAATATTTTTCTATTTTCTAGTTAAGTAATGAACAAGGAAAGTATATTATAGTCAATAAATACAAAAAGAACACAATCAAAATTCACTGCAAGTCTCAAACATTGCCTATATTTATGCAGCTAATACATTTGGGTTTGGAGCATTGAAGACATACAGGCTTCCTACATTGTACACACAAAAATTTGGTCATCTGATGGGTCGTTCGGTGACATAAAAAGCAGGCTTTCCTTTTTTCCAAAACCAAATTTTCAGCTTCTGTTGCTGGATGTTCACATTTGCCAAGGATGCGATTTATCGTAAGTCGCAAATCCCGAGGTAAACGGGGACTCTCTAGTCGCTTTTCCATATGCTCACGGACCAGGTTAGCGGCCAACATCTTAGCAAATACCGATTTTTCCTTCTGCAATTCATTTTTCTTATAGCACTGGTGTAAAATATACGAGTTCACTACCGATATATCCAATAGTCGGTAGAAAATGACCAGTGGCCACCTACGCGAACGGCGACTTGAGGTACTCTTCGAACATTTTTCATCAAGAGAATCAACTCCACCTTTATTAGCATTGTAATAGGCTATTATTTCCGGTTTCTGTGTTTCCGGATCACAATATTTTCTGTGGTGCATAGAAGATATGAGTATTGTGGCTTTATTTTTTTTGCTTACATGAGACACAATAGTGGAATCTTCTCGAAATCCGTACATTGTTGATCCGACTTCTCTTGATTTGTTGGGTAAAAATGCCGGAGGAATTTCTCTTTTATTTTTCTTCATTGTACCCACATAGGTCAGTTTGTTCTTCAATAGGACATCCATTAATTCTATTGACGTAAACCAGTTGTCCGCTGTAATGTTGCGATTAGTTCCAAACAGAGGCTTCGCGAGACGTAGAACTGATTGTGTGGGTTTGGAATACCGCTTGTGTTCCTCAGGAAGTTCGAAACTATCGGAATCTTTACCGCAGTATATATATGCGTTATAGAGGTAGCTATTCCTTGCATCCGTCAATGCCATAATTTTTATGCCATATTTGCAAGGTTTCGCAGGCATATACATTTTAAATCGACATCTTCCTCTGAAACTCACGAGCATTTCATCGACAGTGACAGACTGGCCAACTCCGTACACATCTTGACAGTTCTTTATAAAACTATTAAAAATGAAAGATATTGGTGCTACTGGATCTAGCTTCTTTCTTTCATTTCTGTCATCTGGGTTATCAAACCTTAAGGCTGACAGGAGAATACCAAATCGTTTTATGTTCATGACAGCTCTGAATATATCTCTTCCAGAGCCATCGGTGGCAAAAAGTGTTTCAATGTTCTCGTGGTTGCTGTTGAACACCGATGTATATACTAAGAGACCCAATAGTGCCTTTATTTCGACTAAATCAGTGTCGTTTAGGTTGCTGGTTTGATTTTTGTATCTCTTTCGCATTTCTTTGAGCTTGTGATTGGTCCACTTAACGATATGTACCAACATGTCGTCAGTGAACAAAAGCTGCCAAACCGTCAACGGAGCTGCTTCTTCTCCATATTCATGAGCTTTTCCTCTTAGAGTTGGTACTTTAATGACTATATTGTGCTTCCTTGTACGTGATGATGGTACAACTTCCGAAATATTCCACCTATGACGATTTTTTCCATAGAAATAATTCTGAGCTGGTAAATCCTCTTCATTTCCTTCGGCTCCGTCTTCTGATAACTCACTATCACTTGTATGATCTGATTCCATGTATTCGTCTTCTGAGGCACTGTTTATATCACTAAAGTCACTTCCTTCATCCTCAAACCATTTTAGAACGGTTTCTTCGAACTCCGGATCATCGTATCGTACACGTTTAGAAGGTCCCGCCATACTCGCAAACGCACCTATGCAACACAAATAGCAAACGGGAACGGAAACGTGCCGTCTGACAGACTGCAACAAACTAAAATTGGTCCATATTTTAAGGCACGTTTTGGCTAGACTCGTGTGAATGGGGGTGGGCGATGGTCACTAATAGCTTATGGATTAGATGGGTTTTTACGTCTGTTAGAGGTGCAATAAAAAAAGATACGCTCAGGTATGGGTCAATATTCCCACACTGGGACATTTAAGTCCTCTAAATGTGCCACATAAAAAATATCTAGTATTTAGAAGAGCGTGCATTTACTCAATGCAGTATGGCTTGTTTGTTTGGAAATTATACAATAACCGAGATTTTAGTTTGTATACTTTGAATTATTTAACATTTTTCAAAAATCTCAATACACGGGACTGACACGGTTACACGGAACTGACAAAGAAACAGCAGGATAGCAAACATGTCTTGCATTTTTTATTAAAAAATAGTCAGGTACAAAATAAACTCAAACAATGTATTCTGAAACTAAAACATAACGTTATATTGAGCGGCTACTTGGAAACTCTGCTGCTAATTGACCATTTTTTTTTCCACTCGGACAAAGGAATATCATCATCTGAAGAACTTTCTTTATTCCCTTTGTCAAAAATGTATAATTCTTCATCAGACACAGAACTTTTCGTTACCGAATTATAAGATAAAGTTCCAATAGTGTAATGTAGACATCTTTCGCCGCAGTCGAAACAGGAGAGCTCTCTTAGAGATAGTGTGTTGTGGTCTCTTAGAGATCTTACTTGACGAACCTTCAAAGTTCCTTTAAATGGCAGAACCTCAGCTTTATTTATAGCATCTGAAAATTTTTCAATTTCACAAGCATGAATCTCCAAAAAGGATATGCCTGAGCAGTTGGCTTTCAGGATTTCAACCAATTGGCTGAAAGAACTCACATCAGATCCCTGAGCAACAATACGGTCTGCAGTCCTTTTACAAACTCCACCAATGCCGTCCGGGGCACCTTTACCATGTCCGGCCTCATGGTAGTTCCAGGTAACTGATTGTAGTTCCGGAAAGTAGCTATAGATGCCATTTGTAATGAATGCAAACATTTTCTTGTTGCGGTATTGTGTACTGGGGCTGTCGCTAAGAAAATGCAACAATTTTACCCCATTATCAATATAGAGTTTGATCAGTGGAAACAGATGAGCCCATATGGCACCGGGACCATGCTCCAACGACTCTGATAATGTACAAAAACTGTCAACCTTCAAGTCGTTTTCGTGTGCTCGGCTATAAATTACCACAGTATGCAACGTAATCTGTTGCCTTGATCCTCCAAAATGATAAGACTGGACTTCTTCTGCGTACTTTAGATTATAATTCTCAGAAAAGTCACAGTGAATGAGTATTTCCTCATTTGTCACGTTCTGTTTCAGTGTCTTGATTGCTTTGTATTGGTGAAAAATGCGTCCCTCGTGTGCCAAAAAAAGAGGCAACCTATCTTCAAATTTGGTCAAAAGATCCGATATTTCTATCTCTTGACTAATTTTAGCAATTTTCAAACTGGTAACGTTGTTTTGTGATCGTTTGCTGAAATAAGTTTGTTTTATGTTTTTCCACTGACTATATGATACAACGTTACCAGGCTCGTACTGCTCAATATATTTAGGTTTATATAATGCACACACTGAACATTTCCTTAGTAGACATAGGTCATTGCGGGTCTCACATGTCATTGACTCAATTATTGCTTCTGTAGTTTTGCAATGCAACACTTTACTTTGCCAAAGAGATAATACAATCAACTCCATGTTACTATGTGTCATACATTTACATGTGTCTCGATTTGCTACCTTCATAAACTTTATCCAGAAAGGTTTACATTTACAGAAAAATGTATAACTCACCTTGACATCGGCGTATTTTTTACAAAACTCTTTGAACAAATTCTTCAAAGTGTTTGTTAAATATCTTTTTTGATAGGTGAATTTATTCTTTGTAACATAGTCTTTCTTACCGGGGCAAATCCGGCTATTAACATCTTCCTGTAAGAACGCCACAATTTTATTCCTATTTTCAGATGCTCTTCGGTTTTTCTGATACTTAACATCTACATTCCTATGGCTGTATTCCACTACTCTTGTTTTTGTATATCGAAAAACTTTGGAACACGTTCGCTGAAGCTTGTACTTCTTAATAATTTTTCCATCCATTATTTTCCTAAATACCTTCTTTTCTTTTGGGCTTAACGATTTATAACTCTCTGACATCTGGTCCTTGATGGTCTCCCCAAAAATAAGTTGTTTTTTAATTTCATCTACTCTTTTTTGCTGTATTGAAGACCTTTCTATGATCTGTTGTACTCTAGTTCCAGGTGAAACTGATGGGGAACTAGTTTGTTGAGCAACATTTTTATTTTGATGCATTGACTTCTTTAGGCGAGAATACTTTTTCTTCCACTTTCCAACTTTTTTTTTAAGGTCTGCTATTTTAGCTTCATTTTTTCTTTTTTCTCGATGTCGCTTAAGTTTCATTCTATTACTTTTCTTTATTGCATGTTCCTTTCTTCCATCTAACTGTTTCGTTAAATGATCTGGCACATGTGCGTTTTCGGATGATCTTAGTCTTAATCGATCTCGGTGAGACTTTGTATATTGTCTCCATTTCTTGCGTTGCGATCTAATTTCTCTTTCTATCATTTCCGAAACAAGCTTCCTTTGTTTATTCTTTCGTTGACGCAAGTATTTCTGATGCTCTTTTTCCCGCTGCTCCTCACGTTTTTCCGGATCTTCTCTTATTTTACGCCTCCGTTCTCGTTCCCGGTCACGTTTAATACGCTTTCTTTCTTCATCAGATATTTTCCTATGTCCAGACATCTTACACCCTGCTATAGACTAGTAGATAGACCTGTGAACTATAAAAAATACTTGCATCAATGCATGTTTGCTATAGTTTTATAGAGAAAAAATGGAATCAAGTCAGTTCCGTGTCACACAGTCAGTTCCGTGTTTTCGCAATGACACGGGACTTACAACCACGGGACTGACATTATTGCACTTACAGCAACAAAAAAAGTAATCGGTTCAAGATTTCTAATTAATTTTAGTATGACAATTATGGTTTTTGATACCCGAAGTACTCATGGGGTATTTGAAGCAAAAAGAAAAAATAGTAGCTTTAAAACACTTACCACGGTACTGACAAGAGACAGGTTTCCAAGACAATTTTTTACTTGTCGGACCCAGTTCCTGCTTAACCTATCAGTAATCTGTGCACATCTTCCGACGATTGAGCCAATACTAACAATTTCCAGTTGGGATAATACGGATGTCACTTACCATACCTTCCCCCACTACTTTATGGCGTGATATATGGCGCGGCACGGGACTGGCCAGATAGCTGGAGACAAATGCTTTCCGAAAAATTACTAAATTAATTATTCTTTTTGTTTCACCAATTTTCTATATTGTGGTTAGCTATGTGCATACTTGCGATATAGGTATATCAAGTTTTCAAAACAGTACTTCAGGTGAAAAAAATGGCAGGTATTATCAAGAGACATCCGCTAGGACATGGCACGGGACTGACATTTCAGTGGCATTTTCCCAGTTATTTTGTTCTAAATGGAAGATAAATATTTCATATAGTGTGCAAACCGTAAAAAATATGTAGCCAAACGCATCGTATCAGATAATTACATTGAAAAAATTATAACAAATCAGTTATTAAGAGGAACTTACGATGACTCATGTTAGGGATATTAACCCGTATAGAAACGCCGCAGTCTCACAGACGGCACCTTTCCGGTTAAGGGTTAAGATACTCTGTTGGTAACTATCTATCCAGGTGCCATGTGGTGAACCCCATTAGAACTAAGTGGTTGACTAGCAAGTTTGGCAGCTTGGATCAATGTTGCAAAATATTCATACATCACACAGGAATAATGTACAAGGACTTGAGTTTTTGAAATTGATATTTGGATTGTGAAAACAGGAGATTGAACAAGTTTGATAAAGACACCACATCTGTGAATAGGCTACTTTTTTCTTTTTGAGCTGTCCAACCAAAGTCCCAGCTTATTGTACCTTTCTCCTCATGATTTGCAGTAGTCTTGAATTTTGTACCAGCTGAAATGGGCTACTTAAAATAGTGTATCTTTATATGATTTTTCTTAGGCAAATGTCACATGATCTGTGTTTGCTGTGATTTGTCAATATTTCTCATGGATTGTGATATTTATCGAACTGTAGCTTGGGTCAGTAATTATTGATGTATAAAGTTACATAGAAATCCACTGAGTCTATCAGTAAATACTGATGATATAAAAAAATACTGGTCTTGTGACGTTCTCCTTAACTTGTAGCTTTACTGGACTTTCTATGTGACTGGGTTGCTGATAATTATGAAAAATGTAGGGCACAAGACATCTTTAGTTTATTGATGACATTGGCCATATTGGATTACATACCACAAAATGCTGAAAAACTGTATGAGGTAACGATAGTTACACTATAACTGTGAATGTTTTTTATATTGTTAGGATAAAACCATATATGTATACAGGGTGCGGCGCTTAAATCCGGACAACTTTCTATTTGAATTTCCGGCCACCTAGTAATTCCGCCAGAGATCGCTATTGACGTTCTTAACAGCCATGGTAATCTAGTAAAACGTCATAACCTAAAAATCGCCGTAATGGTACGTACAAGTGCGGAGTACAACAGAAGAGCCGCGATTATCGTAAGTCTTCGCGCTGGGCGTTCGCGAACCGAAATAATTCGATTCTTGGGGTACCCGAGATCAACGGTATACGATATTGTATCCATCTACAATGCTTCTGAGGAGTCTCGGGAAAGTTCCTTTAACCCAGCGAGGAAAACTCATTCGAAGGAACGAAGGTAACGGAAAAGGCGTCAGCATTGGGTGTCAGCGAGCGAACCATGCGTCGGTATGCAGAGGAGGACCTACGTTCCAAGTCGTACACAATAAAGTTGCGACAGATTCTGTCTGAAGCTGCCAAAACTGGCTATCGGATCACGTGGAGATGTTCTGGAGCAAAGAGTTCTGGCCCCCGAATAGCCCGGATTTGAACCCTCTGGACTTTTATGTTTGGAGCGTGGTCGAAAGGGTTACTAACAAATGCACGCACCCTAATGTCGCATCTCTACGCTCCTCTATCGAAGCAACATTTACCAATATGGAGCGCGCTGTTTTAAAGAGAGCATGCGACCGTTTTAGGACAAGGATCGAGGCGGTCATTAGGGCTGAAGGAGGTTATATAGAGTAATTTTACTCTCAATAGATACAAATATATTTCTGTAAATGAATTTTCACTTTTGTTTATGTTTTGTGACAATAAACTTGTTTTTAAATAAAAAATTGAATTTGTCCGGATTTAAGCGTCGCACCCTGTACAACTGTTAGGGAAAATTGGAGGAAGTTGACTATGCAAAATAATTCATCAATTGACTGACGACCCTGATTGATCAAATAAGCAATTTGAAGTTAGAAAAAGTTTGAATGTCAACCATCTTTTGTTATTTAACTAAATTACAGTGAAAGCTCCCATAAGCGGACACTCACGGTTCCGTAACTTTTGTCCGCTTATGGGAGGTGTACGTTTAAAAGAGAGTATGTAAGTATAGAGTATAAATAACGGGGTATATAATCATGAGGAAATGAGGTATTATAATCATGAGAAAAATGAAACAGAAACTCGCCACATTTTTAAAGTATGTATTTATGCTATATATCTATATAATATATGTACATATACGCATACAAAAACATAAATGCTTCAATACATGGTACCAGAATTTAAAAAAACATTATTCTTTAGCTTGTTGAAAAAAGTTTAAAATGTTTGTCTGACGAAATTTCACCATCTTTTGCTGAAGGAGACAATTTTCGTAATAACTTTCTAAATTTTTCAAATGTTGAAATGCAGTGAAATCATCTTTAGCAAATTTTTTCAATATAGAAATATGATTTAGAGCTTCCCCATATGAATTTATCGTTTTTGAACCGCTTAGTGAGTCCACCAGTTCCACTTCTTCTTCTGAGTCGTTTGGACTACCATATTCAAGTTGGCCTGGGCTTTCTACATCCAAATTCGAAAAGTTGCCAATGGCATTTTCTTCTGTTGTTATGTTATTGTCTATGGCCAGGAAATCATTTACTTTCTGGGGATCTGCTACTCTTAAATGTTTGGCATGTCGCAGTAACTGAGCAAGTGTCGCTAAGGGCAGATCGTCTTCAGCATCGCAATAATTTTGCTCAGCAAATTCTGAGCTACATTCACTTTTTCTGAATCCAGCTTTGCCAAAACAGTTTTTAATTGTAGAGGAATTTACTTTATTCCATGCTGTTTTTATAAAATACAAAGCTTCTAACACATTGATAGACTTTGTAAGCTCAGATAAGCTTTGACCATCGTCAATTTTTGTTAAAATATGTTTTAAAATCAACTGCCGATAATAAAATTTAAAGTTCTGTATGACACCTTGATCCATGGGCTGGCAAACAGAAGTTGTGTTTGGCGGTAAAAATATAATTTTCACATTTTTCATTTTCATATCACGAGGATGAGAGCATGCATTGTCTAAAAATAAAAGAACTTGCCTTTTTGGATTCTCATTTTCCGGTCGAATTCGACTAACCACTCAGACATGATTTCTCGGGTCATCCATGCCTTTTTGTTGGATTTCCAAGTCGCTGGTAGATCCTTAATAGCAACGTTTTTTAAAGCACGGGGACGAGCCGCTTTCCCGATCACAATCAAATCGCATTTTTCACCGGCCATATTTGCACAGAATAAAATGGTTAGTCTATCTTTAGACAACTTTCCACCCACACATGTTTCTCCTTTAAAGGACAGAGTTTTGTCGGGCAATGCGCGAAAAAAAGTCCACTCTCATCTGCGTTGTACACATCTTCTGGTTTGTAGCCAAGCAACATGGACGGAAGTTTCTCCAAAAATTGTGACACATCAACTCGATCTACTGCAGCAGCTTCGCCAGATATGCATTTGAAACTCACACTATGTCTCTTGCGCCACTTTTGCAGCCACCCGTCGGACGCACTGAAATTATTATAGCCCAAAGTAGTGGCGATTTCTTTAGCTTTCATTTTCACTAACGGCCCTGAGATTGGAATGTTCTGACTTCTAGCTTTCACAAACCACTCAAAACATGTTTTGTCTATAGCAAAACCTTCCTTTTTTTAAAAATCCTTCTTTTGATTTATATTAGTTCCTGATTGCCATTTACTCCTGATATCTTCCTTATTTTTGGCAATTTCAGCTGCTTGCGTTTTCCCAATATTAAACCTCTTTGCCAAATGACGAACTGAAACACTTTCTCTGTCTAATACGTTAACAACTTCCATCTTTTCCTTTAACGAGAGCATCCTTTTTTTTTTGGTGCCATTTTACAGTTACAATAATAAAATACGTAACTCAATCAACTACGAATTTGCCTGAACTGAAGACAAGCCACAAGATTACATACAGGCTACCCAACGAAATGCGTAAATGGGGAATCACCTAATATAAATCGGGGAATTACCGAATTTTATGTATGTAGATATGTGCATTGCAATAAGCGGAACTAAAAAATCGTCCGGGTATTAGAGTTTCGCGCCCGCTTATGGGAGATTTTTTGATCACATACAGGAAAATCTAGTGTCCGCGTCCGTTTATAAGAGCGTCCGTTTATCGGAAAGCATTTAACATTGAAAATTGATGGCTGAAATTCGGTTCCAGGAACTTTGTCCGGTTAAAAGAGATGTCGTCCGCTTATAGGAGCTGTCCGCAAGGAGAGCTTTCACTGTATATAATATTCTGCATAGGACCCAAAAAGTTAAAACTATGCCTTAATTTACAGGTTTTTGAGAATAATTTTTGTTTTCAAAAATTTATGAAATCAGAAGTTATTGTCGAAACTTGTGTCATCCCATAGCTTTTAGGGCCTTACGCGGAATATTACACTATTTAGTTTAGTAAAAAATACCATCAAAAAATTAAATGACCTTCCTCTTCGCCCTGAGAGAAATTGCTGCATGATATTTACGATGACCAATCCCGCGTGAATGACGATATTGACATTTACCATTCACAGTACACAGCCCACAGCACCACAGCGGTGCGGAAGCGACTGCTGACGGTAACGTACGACCACCGACGATGACGCTTGTCCATCCCAAGTTTTAAGGGTAAATGTATGGGGACTTCTATGATGAGTGAAATATACCAACGTCAAAAAATGAGATATACCCTCCCCCACTCCCTGCAATCTCTACACCAATTCTTAACCACTACAAAGATGTTTCCGAAAATAGTCAGGATCGTCTAAAACAGGAGTTCCCAACCAGGGGGCGCGCCTCCCAAGGGGGGCATAGAGAGATGTCAAGGGGGGCGAAAAGCGTTTGCATTTTAGAAATAAAAAACAAAACAAAAAATAAACAAACAACATTAACAAATTACATTACAATGTTATGTTTAATTTACACGCACAAAATTAGAAATTAAATATCATATTCACTTATTCTGTCAAACGCTGTTTGAAAACCCGGCGTCGTCAATCGCAGTTTATACAAGTTTCGACAAGTCACAACATGAAATCCACGCGCACCCCCGCCGCGTTCCGCTTAACATTCATCACTTAGAAAACAATTGTGTACCTACCAGACGCGGATGAGCATCTGTTACGTTCATTCCCACAAAGTTGCGAAAAATTTGACGTTTCGATGTACATGTTTTGTTGAGAAATCTGTTTGAGTGTGTCCAATTATTGTGTCTCACTGTTAAAAGGTAAGTTTGTGTATTTACAAACTTCAGTTACCATTTTTATTTAATTTACTAAATCGTTGATTCAGTGGAGACGCGTTCATAGATCGGCCATTGGGACTTTTTTACCACATCACAATCAAACCAACGTGGCAAAATAATTTTGAAACGACGAACTCTAAGTACATAATATTTATTCCAAATGAATTTCAAATTACTATCATAACGTCAACCTGCCTACAAAAATATAAATCTCCTGGTGGCCTATATACTGTTGAATACATTACGTTATTAAGATAAAATAATAGGCATATAATTAGTAATGGTACATGTAGGTATTTTGCTTATTTATTACTTATTTGTTTTATTGTTATAGGTGCAAAATCGCAGCGGAAAAAAGAAAGTTTTCCGAAGATTACGTTAAGTTTGGATTTACTTTCATAGAAAAAGAAGAGTTAAATTACCTCAGTGTGTGATATGTATGAACATTTTAAGTAATGATAGCATGAGGCCCAATCGCCTTGCAAGGCATTTGAAGCAACAACATCGTACTCGGGTGTTGAAGACAAAAGAGTTTTTTTTTTTCTAAAGCAGAATCACTCAAGTGGATGAGACTGGATAAATCGAAGGTGTATCGCAGCATCCCAAAGCTTCATTTGAAATAGCTTTTATGATAGCAAAGCAAAAGAGCCTCATACTATCGGTGAAGAATTAATAAAAACATGTGTCCTAAATGCCAAGCAGATAATTTTAGGAGAAGATGCAGAGCAAAAAATGAAATCCATTTCTCTTTCGAATAACACAGTCAAGCGTAGAATCGATGACATTGCAGCAGACATAATTAACAAAGTAAAATTATCGCCATTTTTTGCCATTAATTGCGACATCGTTAATTGTGCACAGTTAATAGCTTATGTTCGTTACATCGGCGGAGATATAATTCAAAAAGAGATTTTGTACTCCCAATCTTTGACAGCAAGTACTACGTCTGAGAAATATATAAAATTCAATATCAAATTTTGTTGAAAAAAATTATTTGGATTTGAAGAAAATCATTGGACTTTGCACAGATGGCGCACCTGCAATGATAGGTGCCTAGGATCAACCAACTGGTACAGAACATGCAATCTCAAGTGTCTTATTAGTACCTACTTTTATTTTATTCAAGTTTTTCGATGAAAAACATTTGCAAGTTTATTTAAACTTTTAAAGTTTCTTTATTAGAATTAAATTAAAGTCTTTGTACCGATATAATTTCGTTTTTTTTTTGTATTTATTGAAAAAGTAAAGGGGGGCATGAAAATATAATTTATAGTCCAGGGAGCCTCAACAAAACAAAAGGTTGGGAAACCCTGGTCTAAATCGTCAAAAACGGAGTTCAGGCGATTTTTTTGTTTTTGGCATTTTTCTCCGCTGACACAGGGCCGATCACAAAGCCTGTGCGTCCTTGGCATAGTAGTAACAGTGTGTAAGAAAATCATTGAAATCCGAGTGGTACTTGTCAAGTTATAGGCGGTTATAAGATTAGGGGATAGACAAACTGGAGGAAAAAGTTACATGGTTTCTCGTGGTGTACATGTCATATAACATTCAAAAAACGTAATATCTCATTTTCGAAAAATTTCGCGATTACAATCCTTCCCCGCCCGTAGGCGTGGGTGGTAAAAAAGAAAAATGTATTCTAGAAAATCAAATTTTTACTAATCTTGAATTGCTTATTTGACCAATCAGCGTCGTTAGTCGTGTATCTATGACTCTTAAGCCGCGTACAGACCGAAAATCCAACGCCGAACAAACGACTGTAAGCACATGTGACGCTGGCGTTTGTTGTTGGAAGGTATTGGAATGCGCTCGCTATCCGTCTGTAAATATTTATACGTCAGGTTTTATTACTACAAATTACAGTCACTTTTTGGATACACCGCGTGATGTTATCTACACCTAAATTTATTTTCGAGTTGGACCGCGTTGGGTGCTAATGTCGAGCAACGAGTCTCGTCTCATCGTATCCAGACAAACGAATAAATACTAGAAGCGCAACAAATCCTGTCCAGACCAAATCAAACCTCCCTTTGATGTACCGATCAATGAGCGAACGCAATCGAACACCAACGCCGACCTTGGAAACCGTTGGCTCGCTCCGTACACACCGATTCGAACTCCTCCAAATGTGCCTTGGCTTGCGATGGAATCTCAGTCTGTCCGCGGCTTTAAAGTCACAGCTGCAGTACATTGTATCCGCGTACTCAAATTTCACCTAGAATGGTGAGTTGCTGTGCCCCTAAATGTTAAAATATTTACCCAATATAGCTTACATAACTGTAGGATTGCATTAAGGTTAGATTGTTTTAAGGTTATCTTGCCATCTTTGGCACATTCTGAAGCGGCAACTGCAACAGAATGGCTAGAAGTCATATGGTCACTTGTATTATTGAATAGAGCAACTGAGGAACACGTTTCTGGCGTACTAAATAACTCATTCATACAGGAGCTCATGATGAAAGGTACGCATTTACTGATTATTAAATGAAGGGTACCGGGGAATAACGACAATAGTCCATCCGGACTTATTTTGACAAAATCGGTAATTAAGGTTTACTTACGTGTTGGAAAGTGAAATTGACGAAAAAATAAGAATAAGAATATCTTTGCTAAACAGTGTGTTTATTGGTAAAATATATTTGACAAAATGAACTTTTATTCAAAACTAGTAACGAAACAACACAAGATGATGTTCAACTCTGTACTCGTACCACTTTTCCCCTGCTTTAAGCGTGTATTGGCGGGTCATCGACATATTCATCACTGCTGTCTTCTGGATGATCAAGAGATATTAAACTGTGGATAAAATGCCCTGGAATCTGCTCTCTCTAGAAATTTGGTCAGATCCTGCAGATCCTTCCATTTCTTACTTTTAATTGGGATTGGGCCCTGGTAAAGTTTTCTCAATGTTACATCTTCTCGTTTTTGTTGATCTTTTTGCGTCTTTTTTAGATTCTTCTGAATTACCTTATCAAATTTAGAACTAGCATATAGGCCCATGTATGTCGATTTGTAAAAAACTACGCGAGGATTCTGTTTACAAAACTTGAGTATCCTGACTGGTCGGGTTGGAATGGGGCACTTCGTTGGATAAAACGGCTCTAAAAACGTACTGCAATCTTGAAAATCAAAATTTTTGCCACAATCAATGACTTCAAATTGTGAAGATTTCACACGGCAATTTTTCAATTCATCTCTCCAGTCATCCGGTACCTCAGTGTATGCTCTTTGGTTCACGAGACTCATATCTCTATCACACTCGAGGAATGAATGCCCCCTGATCGAGAATATTACTTTCACAGTAGTAAAACGATTTTTCTTGGTAACCAAGTAATGCAAAAACCGAATATCTGTAAAGTTTATATTTTGCCCTGCACAGGAGTCAAAGAAAATGGTAAGTTCTTTTAATTCCATAGGCAAAAGATGTTATAAAAAAAGTGATACAGCATAGAATAGACATCGTCAGCTCCTTTCTTAGCAATAGATTCATCGTAGGTATGAAAGGTAGAATTTGAGTATGACATAATGTGGATGTTAGAACTGATGAAATTTAGTTGCCGCTTATAGTAAACACCATTTGTCGTAATATTTGGAGAGGGCAAGTTTTTTTGGTAGCCCATCGTGCGGCAAGATCTCTTTAGACTGTAAGTTCGCTCACTCCTTTTTTGATGTAGTGTCTTCTCAAGTATCTTTTTCTCCAAATTATTACTTGTTCCGTGTGGGAATTTAAGGTAGCGGTAAGTGAAGATATATCAGCTTTAAAGGAATCGCACGTACTACAAGTATCTTTTCGTGGATAACCGAACGATATATTGAAGTTGTTGTTAAAGATTTCTGGAAAGGATTCATAAGAAATCTTGTTTTCAACATAGCCAATAGAATGCATTTTCTGTAATGTTGCGATATTTAGATTTTCAGGTAGGTAAACTTTTTGCGAATCTGCCAAAGAATAATGAGATTTGCATCATTTGAGGCTCTTAATAAACTCGGTCACTTTCTGTTTTGTGTTTTCTGTAAGTTTGTGAAGTCGTGTGTTGTGTTTTCCACGCTTGTCGATGGGCGGTTTCCCAGTTGCAACTAATGAGCTTATGTACCGAACTCGACGAACAGCAATTCCGTGTAAAGACAAAAAAGCCTTAAGACAAACTGGAACATCACGTATAATTCCATTTTCAACCCATCGGACACGATAACTAAATGAAGCATTATTAAGCCTTGACTCTGCTTCATTTTTTCAAGGACGTCTACGCATAACAGGAAGAACTGTTATAAGACCACTAAGATAAGCATTTTGTGCATTAGTGTTTCCTAGTTCATCAAATTCACGAAAAGTCTGCAGCGTTCAGGTTCAGGAACAGTAGTAAAACAGCGAAAACTTTCACAAAAACAATCAGATCCAAGTTCGTGGGTAGTGGCGCGCAATGTTTTCATTACGTCTCTTTGTCTTCCTGTTTCTTGCATTTTTTCGTTTCTCTGTTTGATGGGCCTGGTTCATTTTCACTTGAAACTGAATAGATACTATCCATTATACACAAAGCCCGTATTATAAACTAAATTAGCGAATATAGTCAATAGTCAAAATATCAACGTATGCAACACACGTGGACTCTAATAGTAAACTAATGGCTGATGCATTAACGAAGCGCCCAAGCGGTACGGCCGATGCAACGCCGCCTTTCCATATGGACTGATGCCGTTTTTACATACACGCGCAGGGACTCATGCCATTCTTCCCCGGCACAGGGAATCTTATAGCTGTTGTTTTGTGAACCTAAGCCCTTTTTACAATTGAAGAAGCTCATTACAAGATAGCATCAGGAAAATGCCACCAAAATAAACTGAAAGCTCAATTTAGCAAAATAATGGACTAATGCCGTTTTTTCCCGGTACCCTTCAAATGTATCTGTTCATTGCTCATGGACGGAATTTGATAAATAAAGTGCTTCATTGTGATGCAGTCAAGTGCTATCGACTTGCAGTGGTTGTCCTTGCAGATCATTTGATCATTGATAAACCAACTGTTTAAAAACAGTTATTAAAAAAATATTTTCTGCGTTTTTGAATAATTATAAATTTTAAAATATGAAAATGGTTTTAGGATCAGGATCGTTATCAATTTCGGCAAAACTGAAGCTATTGAACATAGACGGCGCAGCCGAGTTTATGCTGAAAGGTTATAGTGGTCCGAGAATACCAAAAGATTCGCCTATCAAACGTTCTGACGTGTTACAGACGAAAGACAAGACGGAGATGATTGATTCAGTGATAGATACTTTGAGGCACTTGATACAGTCGGAATCACTGTTAAGAGCGAGAATAAACACAGGATACGGATTTTACATAGGTATGCACGTAATGTAAAAAAGCCCAATATTAAATCTTTACTCCAGACGCAATTGAGAAGAACTCGAGAGAATTATAATATATAGAATAACACCTGAAACTTATTCTGTGGTTTTCATGCTGATAAATTTCCATGTTTTTCTAGCAGCCAAATGATATCAGACATGTTAGATTAACTGTGTACTCTAGCCGCCAGAAAACATGATTTATCGGTCTTGGCGGCGACTAACTGAAGCCGAGCTCTGTAATGTAATGCACACATCGAGTGTTACAGTACAAAGTTCGTGATTTGAGTCCAGCAAATGTTCACTTGGAATGCTCGGCTCAAAAGTGCTCCACTTTTCTTGCTGCAGTCTGTGTCGAAATATTAGTCCTAGAAGTAGTTAGTGCTGCGTTCATATTAATGGGCTATTGCAACCTAGTAAAAAAAAACAAAACAGAGACGGTGGTGGCAGACAGATTTATTTAGAGGAAGAGATGTATGTTAAATGGTGGCGGGATATTATCTTAAAGAACGAAGAGCTGTTGCCACCCATCATGTTCCTTGATTTTGTTATAATATTCCGACTGTTGCGAATCCAATAGTTTACTTTTAGTACGATATACAGTAATGGACAAAAGTATATAGACAAATTAATATTGTGCTGTATTTCTTTTTTAACTTGTTTTATTAATACACCAACCTGTAGACATAATTCGTTATAGCATAATACTCACTTATACATAAATAAATTCATTAGACTCCCTTCAACAATAAATTAATTGAAAAAACTGGAACTATGAAAGACAAAAATATATAGACAGAGCAAAACAATTATAGAAAAAAGAAGCAAGATTCATTGAATTATAGAAAACCAACCATGTTTGTGTTAATATTTTGTAGCATAACCATTATTATCAACACCGCCTGGCATCGTCTCGGCATAGATTGTAGAAGTTTCTTGATATAAGATTCATCAATCTGTCTCTACTTTTGCTCTAAAACGGCATAAAGTTCATCCTTGTTTGAATAATTTTTATCTCGTATTTGCTTATCTAAGTATTCCCATAGATTTTCAATGGAGTTTATATCGGGAGACTGTGAAGGCTATTTGAGAACTGGTATTTTTTCATCCAGGAAGAATTTCTTTGTGAGATTTGAAGTGTGCTTCGGGTCATTAGCTTGCTGGAAGATTGATCTTAACGGCATATTGTCTTCCATATAGGGTGACAACTTATCCATAATGCCATCTATTCTATGTAAAGGTCCCATCCCAAACCCCGAAAAGCACCTTCAAACCATAACAGACCCGCCTCCATGTTTGACAGTGGGCAAAGTGTACTTGGGGTTCAATCTTTGTCCACTAGGACGTCTAACGTAATGAACACCATCTGATCCAAACATATTGAACTTGGATTCGTCACTGAAACATAGCCTATTCCAGTCACATATGCTCAAATCAAGATGCAACCGTGCAAACTGTAATCGGTCCTTACGGTTTTTCCTAGAGATTAGCGGCTTCTAACTCGGGCGACGTGCAAATAACTTCAAATCATTTAATCTTCTACTTATAGTTTTCGTAGAAACACTGACAATTCCTTTTGTCTCGATGCCGGCTTTTGTTTGCCTTGGGGTTTTAAACGGATCTTTGGACGAAATTACTTTTATTAATCTAACTGATCTAGCATTTAGTTTTCTAGGCCGACCACTTCTCAAGGCTTTCAAGATACCTTTTTTGTTTATATTTGTTCAATATTGCCCAAACTGCTTCAGCTTCAAATTTTTGGCAATGTCGACTTGACGGTGACCATCTTTGTATAACTCAATGAACTTAGTTTTCACATCGAAAGAACTTTCTGGACCACGCGGCATGATCTTAAAATCACTCAACTTATTCCACAATACTTGATGTACACAAACTAATCCTCTTCTGACACGAAACTGTAATAAACTAATGTTGAAAATAATTTGTCTACATATTTTTGTCCCTCATAAAAAAGTACTTATATTCAGATTTGTATTGTGTTCATTGCAGATAATGTAAAAACAAGGAATTTAGTTTTTCTAGTAATTCATTTGTTTATGGAGCAATGAAGTATGAATTCGTTTTCCAAAGGTATTTAGGTAAATATTCATATTTGTCTATATACTTTTGTCCATTACTGTAAATCAATTAAAATAGTTTCCTCCTGGGAACTCGCCATTAATAACCAGAGCTCCATCTCAACTAATAAAATAAGAAAACTGCAGACACTGTGCTCAAAGACGATCTAATCGCCACCTGCACTGACTTGCAATGTAACCATTAAAGGGATTCATCAAAAAACCGACAATCAAGTAGAGCTCGATTTGCTCGACGTGAGCGGTTCTGTTCGGTGCTCGCTTTAGCGATTCACTAATTTTTGTGTTACATTAGATTACCGAGCTCGGCTTCAGTCAGTTATTTGAAAGTAATCAAGAGAACGTTTCACAAATGTTAGTGTTATGAAGCATAAATGAATTGAAAATAAGCTTTTTTATAAGTTATTATTTATTCTTTTATTTCCAGATGCTGAATGCTTACTTGATAAGAAGTGCACACCATTGCCTGTAAAAGATAGTTCTTCCCACAAAGATGCTGTTAAGTAAGTATTAATGCTTGAGTTGTGGCATTACCTTAGTTACTGTTTGTTTTATCTGAAAAAGTGACTGAATCACGAGTGTACTATTGGCGGTACCCGGAAAACTTACAGTTAAATCATTGAGTAACATATTCTACGTCCACCTGAAGATACCGAATCCCATTGACAGCCGCGCCTGTGCGAAAATAAGCATAGATTCTGTGACGCCGCCAAGCACTTATACTGACAACTGTATCCCTGCCGACCACCATTGTTTGATGTCAGCGTTGCCACCTCTCAACCTGTTACTACAGGTTGTGGAATTTCCTTTTTTGTTGTTTGGACATTTTGATAATATGAAATCTCAGAAATATCGTTATTACGAGGATGGTTGAGGGGTGATCTTTCCTTAGAAGGTCAATGTCATGTTGAAGAATAAGCAATTTTCATCAAGAGGAAAACAGGGTGCGCTGTTATTACTTTCAACGTCCAAATGCAGCCTATGATTGGCCATATTCCTAACAATATATTAATCAATGGTTAAAGTCAAGGTGTTCTCCATTTTCTAAAACAAAAAAAAATCATTACAGGGTGGCGATGGTAGTATATGACTACCATGATATGACGCGTGGCAGGGTGGAGCCAACAGGCTTAAGTGCATTTGCAGCTGAAATATTGAGAACACAAGGTTACAGGATACTGAGTGTACCTTATAATGAGTTTAAGCCAAGAGAAAAGTTGGTATATCGTGTAAAATATTTAGAATCAAGATTGAAAGAATTAGTAAAGACATAACTTATTGGTTGGAATTGTTAATAATAAAGTTTTATATTATTTGAGGTTTTTTTATATATTTTTCAAGTCCTCGACATCTACACCCCCAGTTCGAACTGTTGCAATTAAAACTTGCAAATCTATTTTCACCAGGCTCTAACATCACTTAATCTATCCGACAAAATTGACTGTTCCCACTAGAGGTATTTGCCTAATAAATCTTGCCGTTTTCCCTATTGAGAGGATCCGTGGCAAATGCTTGTTCTGAAAGTTATTGTACTCGGTATACAACATCTTCCCGTTCAAGTGATTCCACACGCGTTAAGGAATACTTCAGTACCGATTATCAACGGCCACTTTAGATCTATTTAACATCATTAAAAATCAAAAACAAGGTGGTAGACAAGCACCAGTCGACCGAGACGGAACCACCCGCTAGCTGTTTCCAGGGTGTCTTAAGAATGCCCGCATGTTTCCACACCTAAGCCACGCAATCGGTTATCTTCCAAAACAAAAAAATCAAATAATGATGAATCCTTCGAGTATTAAGAATTCCGGACGTAGATTCGCTCCATTCTCGGAATGTCCGTATGGAGGGTGGACTTGAGGGAACAACATCGATGATAAAATTTGTTTCACGAACTGCGGGATTAACAAGATTGATGCTGTTCATCACTACCTGCAGTCTAGTCGTCCTGCCATGCTTTTTATGGCGGAAACAAAAATCTCAGAATCTGCACCAATTACTCAAGTTAGCTTCCCTTTCGCGGTGCACTCCAATCTGAGAAAGAACGGAGGAGTTGTGGCTTTTGTCCGCAGCAGTCTTTCCTGCTCCAGAGATGTTTCTTTGGAATCAGACCGGAAGAACATTCTGTGGCTTCGCCTCAACTGCAAAATATCCGCCAAATTTATTTGTTGCGTTTACTGCTCTTCCTCGGACAAAAACAGGGATTGTAACGCTTCCTTTCCGCAAAAAGTCCAGAAAAGATGGAATGCAATGAAGATTCCAACTTTTCTGCACAATCACAGAAAGGGGGTTACCATTAGCTTCCGGTAGCTCAGTCGGTGGCATGAAGACATCTACAGGCGTCTAGCTGTGTGTCGACCATGGCATGGCTAGAGGATAGAAGAACAAACAGAACACAAAAATTTAACAGATTTTATTTAACAAAAAAAAAGGCATTTTCATTACATTACATATACAATCTTACAAAAATAACAAAATAAGTTTTACATCTTTGGCGCTGCTATAACGCTATCGACTTATCTTTCGCTGGTCCATTTTTACTCGACTGAAGCCAGGATGGCCAGGGGCTTGAAGGGGAGGTCCCAGTTATGAGGGGTGACCTCCATATAGTGGCTTCACAACCAGTTGTAGGCGAAGTTAAAGGCGATGGCGCTGCCAAGGTACATGCATGGGTGAAAATATTGGCCAAGGCTAGGCAAAATGAAAGGGAAAGAGAAAGGGGTGGCCCCAATCATTTTTGTCCTATACGGACACACATTCTAGAAAATTCTAGCACATGGTGCTATATAACCTTGTGCTACTGAGAAGAAATTTCTAGCCGTTGTTCGATCGGCGGCTCAGGTGAAAAGGAAGCGCGAGGAAGATCGCAGATCAGGAACTCCGCATCAAGCGCTCCAAGCGGAAAATTTTCCAAGCAAAAAAACTAGAGATGGGATTAATGAAATGATAATCGAGAAGTGATTTAATAAATACGATCGGACGGTGAAACCGTTACACTCGCCCCAACTTAACCAAAAAAAAAAAAAAATCGAAGAAGCATTTAAGAATTTTTTTTTTACTAGGAAATTGAAAGTTATCACGGAAGGACAAATGTACAACCATTCGACCAGATAACAAGTGGTAAAAGTAAGGTAGAAACAAAAATGTTAGAAGAGAATTGGAAGAAAAAGGGATAGCCTCAAGTCTACCAAACAAGAGGGATGGTTATAGCACCAACTCGCTGAAAAGTACAGTGAAGTTGCACTTAAAAAAAAACTATCATCATATGATGAAAAACCCAAAACATAAAACATCGTCATACCTAAGACGAGAAAAATAATAAACCAAAAGTTTCAGCAGTAGTCCAAGCACGAATCACAATGGCATGCAAAATGCACGACTGACTACTAAAAACTTCAAAACTAAGTAAGTACCTAAACCATAAGAGGTACTAAAAAAAATAATAATAATTTTTCTCAAAACAATAATTGCCAGATTATCTCGCAATACTCCAAACCCAAAAAGAATATCATCTACAGTGATATTTTAAACCAATATCCAATGTAAAAAACTGTGCATTACTTTTTTTCAAAACATGAAAATCAAAAGAAATTAACAAATTCTAATAAGAATTACCATAACATTGTAAAATGAAAGTTAAGTTCAAATATGAAATATTACAAGATTAGAAAAACTATAATAATTTACCAGTGTAAAGTATGAAAAGAGAATTACTATACTGAATCTATAAGAATTGGCGATTACTTCAAGTCAAGACAGAAATTGAAAGAAATAAGAAGCCGGAAAAAAGATTATGAGAGCAGACTATCAAAACAAATGCAATAATGCAAAAGCAAAATCACCAGATATTTCAAAATCTATAGCGAAACATGAAAGCAATGTCGCAACCAAGCTCAAGACTTAGCAATACGCACAAATGTGCACAAAGGCTGAAAGCATATATGAAAAATCTCAAGAAGGAATTGACAATTACTTCAAATCAAATTGAACTGATTGAATTGAACTGAGACATAAATAACTATATCAAAAGTGAGTTTTACTTATACGCCAGAGGTTTCAAGAGTTTATCAATACGCACAGATTTGCAACTAGGCGGAAAGCATATATGACAAGTCTCAAGAAGAAAATAAAATGCATATGAAGAAAACACTTTCAATTAAAGAAACTGTGGATAGTACAAGACCCTCAAGGCATACATCGCAACGAATCTATGTAACTATCCAGACTACAAAATACTGTCAAAGTTCAAAACCACTCAAAAATATGTAAACAAACATCAAAAGTTTGAACCAAAAATCAATGTAAGTCTGTGCTCTCGAAGAAAGTTATAATGAATTCAAAAAGAGGATACTATCAAAAACTTCAAAAGTAATAGGCTTCAAAAATAGAAGTACGTAAGTATGTAAAGGAAATTCAGAAAATATACGCATAAAAACATTATAAAATATTATACACAGTATTTGTCACATGATTTAGATCGGGAATGCAATTTAAATTTTGAGTACACTCAGAAAAATTAAATATTCAAAAGATGAAGTATACACATTAAATTGGAATCAGAAAAATAATGATTACTTGTAAATTTTGTACATGGTGGACTGACGTAATGGTTCAAAAGGTTGAAAGAACAACGATGACTAATGTCCAAAGTAAACATTCACCTGCCTTTTACAGGAAATTAGCTTAACAATTATCAAAGGAAATTCTTGTCCGTTCGCATCTGTACTAGGAAATAAATATAGGAAAACCTACTCGCTCCAATGTACAGATCGAAAAACTCGCCCCCTTCGATTGAGCGGAAATATGTATTGGACTGATTGTAATATTTCAAAAGGTTGAAGGATCAACGATGTTAAATGTCCAAAGTAAACATTCAGCTGCCTCTTACAGCAAATAAGTTTATTCATTATCAAAGGAAATTCTTCTCCGTTCGCATCTGTACTAGGAAATAAACATAGGAAAACCTACTCGCTCCATTGTACAGATCGAAAAACTCGCCCCCTTCGATTGAGCGGAAATATGAGTATTGGACAAATTGTAATATTTCAAAAGGTTGAAGGATCAACGATGTTAAATGTCCAAAGTAAACATTCAGCTGCCTCTTACAGCAAATAAGTTTATTCATTATCAAAGGAAATTCTTCTCCGTTCGCATCTGTACTAGGAAATAAATATAGGAAAACCTACTCGCTCCAATGTACAGATCGAAAAACTCGCCCCCTTCGATTGAGCGGAAATATGAGTATTGGACTGATTGTAATATTTCAAAAGGTTGAAGGATCAACGATGTTAAATGTCCAAAGTAAACATTCAGCTGCCTCTTACAGCAAATAAGTTTATTCATTATCAAAGGAAATTCTTCTCCGCTCGCATCTGTACTAGGAAATAAACATAGGAAAACCTACTCCCTCCAATGTACAGATCGAAAAACTCGCCCCCTTCGATTGAGCGGAATTATTTTTGTAATTATTATATTTAAAAAAAAGTTAAAAACGTGAATACATCAATAAATGACAAGGATCCAAAACACTATAAAAAAACTAACAATACAAACAAAAAATTTCAATACAAAAACATGAGCAGCCGAATCTTAAAAGAAATTATTTTATATCTGACATACATTAAAAAGGTACAGAGACGTTCAAGTCCTGTTAATCCAATGGAAAATCAGACACTAATGTTCTAATTTCCCCCAAAGAATATGCCAGATAAAACTATAAAACATTAAAATTATGAAAACTTATGCTCCAAACAAGAGACAAAATTACTACAATAGTTATTTAGGAACGTATACTATTTCAACAACAAGTTGAAATTTAATTATCATAAATGAGTATGTGTGTCTTTGTATAGGTAAAAATGATTTAGGAGTCACCCCCTCATTGAAAAGTAGCAAAAATATAGTCAAGAAAAACATCATTTGTTTCTTGAAAAAAAAGAAAGGTAAGTATCAAAGTACTATGTCCAAGTGTCAATACTTGAAAAAAAGTAAACCGCCAAAATATACGAAAAATTATGAATATGAATTTCATATAATTCAGAAAAATGGATAAATCGCAAAATGATTTACTCCAGATAACTCTAGTCAGTAGATTATTGCCATCAGCATGAAAACAAATGATCAAAAGTTCAAGTACAGTCAAAAATTCAAAAAGTAAATACATTTGGGGAAGGCAAAAATAATTTTGAAAGTAAATTTCCTACGTACCAAACATCATGAGAGCTATATCAGTACACCAGAGATCCAACAATTAGGCTATATATGCATACATGAAAAGTCTCAAGAAATCAAAAAACTGCACATGAAGAAATACTTTCAAAAACTAAGAGGTTAGTGATCAAAAATGAAAAGCATATAAGAATATGTAAACTATCAACAACAATAGTCACAACCTCAATCAAAAGTTTGATGATATTCGACAAAAATGCTGGGAAACCTAAAGTCCCCAGACTATCAATATTCAACAACAAAAAATTGTCAAAATATATCATCAATCTCAAAAGTACAATGAGAAAAAAGTTATAACTGTCCCCAGCAGTAAATAAAAACTATAGTAGTATGTGAGAAAAAAAATTCTGGCAAATATCTCGCTGACTACTAAACAAGACAATTTAAAAGTTAATAGTATGCCTATGAAATAAACAGGTGGAAAAATTTTAATCTTCTGATAAAAAATTTTAAACATTAAGCAAAAAGTAAGGATGATTAAAGAATTAGAAATTTGAGTAGCAAAAGCAATTAAAAATAGAAATGCTGCCAAAGATTGTAAAGAATTTTGAAAACTATGTTCTGTCTGCCAATCTTCCACTAGCAAACCACTTGTCGACAAAGCCAAACACCAATCGATGCCTCACGTTGCGGGTGCCAATTTATGTAACGCTTCCTTTCCGCAAAAAGTCCAGAAAAGATGGAATGCAATGAAGATTCCAACTTTTCTGCACAATCACAGAAAGGGGGTTACCATTAGCTTCCGGTAGCTCAGTCGGTGGCATGAAGACATCTACAGGCGTGTAGCTGTGTGTCGACCATGGCATGGCTAGAGGATAGAAGAACAAACAGAACACAAAAATTTTACAGATTTTATTTAACAAAAAAAAGGCATTTTCATTACATTACAATTTTACAAAAATAACAAAATAAGTTTTACATCTTTGGCGCTGCTATAACGCTATCGACTTATCTTTCGCTGGTCCATTTTTACTCGACTGAAGCCAGGATGGCCAGGGGCTTGAAGGGGAGGTCCCAGTTATGAGGGGTGACCTCCATATAGTGGCTTCACAACCAGTTGTAGGCGAAGTTAAAGGCGATGGCGCTGCCAAGGTACATGCATGGGTGAAAATATTGGCCAAGGCTAGGCAAAATGAAAGTTAAAGAGAAAGGGGTGGCCCCAATCATTTTTGTCCTATACGGACACACATTCTAGAAAATTCTAGCACATGGTGCTATATAACCTTGTGCTACTGAGAAGAAATTTCTAGCCGTTGTTCGATCGGCGGCTCAGGTGAAAAGGAAGCGCGAGGAAGATCGCAGATCAGGAACTCCGCATCAAGCGCTCCAAGCGGAAAATTTTCCAAGCAAAAAAACTAGAGATGGGATTAATGAAATGATAATCGAGAAGTGATTTAATAAATACGATCGGACGGTGAAACCGTTACACGATGACCTACTAGAATACCTCAATGTCAAGATCGACTTCCTGAACATCAATCACCCTGCTTCAGAGGTAGTTCTCATAATGCCCATAATGCGCTCTGGTTGAACTCAAACAAGACTGATGCAGCAGGTCTGCTGTTGAAGCGTCCGCTATCACCCAAGGACTGACCTAGCCGCTGAAGAGCCCTACTTTTTTTCCGCGTTTCGTGACACGCCAGTAGCTGGATCTCTTTCTGACCATCCTGTTCCTGACAGCACTGCGGCTCTGAGTAAGTCAGACCACGGTTTTGTGCAGATTAGGTTTCGGCAGCAGAAACTCGCCCAGGGGACGTCCTAGCTTACGTCACGCAATTGTGGAGTAAACTTGTCTATTATTGTGGTGGGGCTCATGTTGCTCTTTGCTCTTGATATCATGAAAGCGTTCGATCAGCTGTAGGATGCTGCCCCCCTATGCAAACTTCCACCCTATGGCCTCCCAGAGAAGCTTTGCAGATGTCGTAATTGAGGGCTTCTCTTCTTCATCATCCCACAATGTGAACGCGGGTGTACCCCAGGGATCGGCCTTGCCTCCGACATTGTTAATATCACCAGTTTGTATCCTTTGATTTGTCCGACTACTCCCGTTTTCGACGCCAACAAAGTCGCAGATTCCACCCCTCCGAGACGAAAACTGTGTTGAACAATTTCGGGAGGGCGCATGAAAATATTTGATTCTCAAAGTGGGCAGCAGCCAAAATAAGTTTGAGAACCTCGGCCTACATTCTAAATAGCTTGTGGAGTTTAATTCCATGATGATATTTCTCTCAACTCCCCTGTATACAAAGCTGACCGTTCATAGAACGCTAAGATACGTTGATTTGAGCTTCAACCAAAATTTTCTCTCTAGGTCACAACTCTTATCTGTGGTCTCGTTCGTCGAATAGACAAATATGTCAAAATATTGCTATGTCTGCTGATAGAATTTTGTGGGATAAAATACAATTTTGAAAAATATGGGATATTTTTTGGGCTAACATCACCAAAAAGGTACAATATCGAACTCGCTAAATTATTCAACTCATGAAGGCTCTTGCTAAATATCCAAATTTTTTTAAGTATTTGGGATTTACCCTGATTGGAACAAGGTATGAGTATCACTGGCAAAAAATTAACATGCTGTAACAATTTTATTTTGAATAGTGCAGGATGGATTTACTATCAGGTGAAGCGCACCAAACAAATATTAGAAGGTGCTGTCGATACTTCAGTCCTACACCTAAAAGCAGTAGCTCTACAGAAAGAGCCTGTTGTAGAAGAATTCACAGAGATACAACAGCCCTTTTTCCCTTTTGAAAAAAGAAACTTCCTTAGTAGTACTTGGGATTCGATAAAATTCGCTTATGCCCGTAGATTAGTGAGATTGGCAGGGAGTGAGAATCAATCTTTTCGAATAAAGGCTGTGAAACATCTAGCTAAGATCAAAGACATGGATCAATGGCATTGCTGTCTATTGGCAAATATGATAGATGCTAGAGCAGCTGTAGGCCTAGCACGATCTGGGGATGTTGATAAAAGGTTATTCCTAGAACCACCATTACGCTACCATAACTTTAACAAAGATATGTTGGTAAATGTTATGAGAGATTTCTTGATAAATCTGTATGAAAAATCTCAACATCAATGTTTGGGATATTTTCTGTCTAAGGTGTTTGTGTATGAACATGTGAGTATGCTTTACACTTAATAGTTAAATTTTATAGAGCATAAATTATTAACATTCTTTCTTCTGCTGCTCAGTGGATTATGGGTAATTATCATCATAAGGTAGGAGCACAAATATTTCTATTAGGTAACCACATATTAACACAGAACTCCCTCATAAGCTGTCATATTTTTAGAAAGCCTGAAGTACCCTATACTATTCATCATTGTTTGGCATAGCGGTCCAGTAGACCTTTGCTCTTAGTTAAGTCTCATCTGTCTAGCTACGCATATACCAAACATGTTCAAGGGGAAAAGAAAAAGAAAAGAAAATCATTTGAAGTAGAAAACTCTTAACCATTATTAGTTTAACTCCAAAAATAATTTTGATTGGTTTTGTATACTGAAATAATTTTGGTTGGTCTGAAATTGACCATTTAATTTTGATCACAGTGTGAGGATTGACCTGGAATGTTTGCGAACTAGCTCAACTGTGTAGTCTTCTGAATCGCACAACAGAGGGTGGCTGTGTGATTCTGCTTGATTATCACACTGCTGTGCCTGTTATTCTACATAATCCCTTAGATACAGGGTGTGAAGATCTCTGAGAATGGTCTCATTTGACACATCCCACGGGAAGTTAGTGATTGTGCATAGGTTTCTATTTTGCAGGACTTTCAGTTTCTGCATATGCATGTTGGCAAGATAGCACCAAGCCACTCATGCATAGGTGATTGACGGTCTTATGAACCATTTTATACAACCGGATCTTGTTTATCAAACTTAATTTTGAATTTCTGCACAACAAATTATAAAGCTGCTTAAATGTAATTCCGTTTTTGGTTTTCGAAATATCAGTATGTTTATGCCAGGTCAACCCCTTGTCAATGATTGACTCAAAGGTACCTGACAGCTTGTTGCCATGGTGTATATGAGTTAAAATTATTAATTTCGATCCGCCCACTAAAATACTTCTTCCACCGCAGTCTATCGTTAACCAGGATACCTGGACTATTAGTGCAGTGTCGTCATCACAGAGATAGACTTCACAGCCGCTGGGGCAAGGGACGTCATGTATATGAAGTGAATAAAGGATTGGTCCTAAGACAGAGCACTGAGGAACACCGGCTCTTACGTGCCGTGTTGTTGACAAAACGTTAATTTTAGTTCGAAACTTTCATCCTTCTAGAAAAGATTTCAACAGTTTTAGTAGCCAAAATGGAAAGCCTTTTTGGATGGGCTGATATAAGAGGCCCATGGACCACATCTTGTCAAATGCCTTTGATCCATTTAAAAGCAAGATACCAGTACTTTTTTTGAGGGTGAACCTCCTGGTTACATGCTTCACTAGTCTAACTGCCTGTAGCTCCATACTATTCTCCGACCGAAAGCCAAATTGCATGTCAGAAATCACATGGTGATCTGACGAGAAATTTTCAAGGTGACGATAAATCACCTTTTCAGCGAGCTTAGAAGGAGCTGGCAGTAGACTAATGGGACAGTAATTCCTGGAGGAATATCGAACCTACTTTCTTTGGGTCATGATGAGTTCAGAAATCTTCCACGCCTTAGGAAAGTACCGAGTTCGGAGCATTGCAATGATTATTGTCACCAGATAAGTCAAAGCTTTTAGCAAAAGCAACTTCAGGGTCTTATTGGTGGTGTGATCCTCTCCAAGTGATTTACGCAATCTTAGGTCCTTAATGTGGCCGTGAAGCTTTTCCATTGAGCAAAATGGAATCACAGAGGATTCCGCTGTGGTGCTGTGCAGAGATTCTGCCGAAACGGAATCACCGATGTTTGCATTGATGTTAGTGTCGCCATATTGCTCTAAAATATCTCCTGACATATCTTACAAATTGTCGTTCCTCGTCAAGAGCATAATTGGTAGAGCACTGCCTTTCCATGACGTCAGCAAAAACCGCCACTTTATCTTCAGTCCTAAAAACTATGCCTCCAGGACTATGGATATGTGGTAGTTGCTTTTGCCTTCCGTTTCTGAGAGATTTTGCCACTTTCCATAGAGGAATACTTGAATCGAGCATCCAAGCCAGAAAGTCGCTCCACTTCTCATTACGGAATTCATGGAGTGCAATTCTCACTTCACAGTTTAGTAGTAGTAGTTTTTTATCGAATGAAAATGCACCATTGCTATGTTGCTGAAAATGAAAGAGCAGGTTAGTGTGTGCCGCACTGATTGAACGCTTGTAAAATCAAGAGTGCCGGTGATTAAAAAAAATGTGCATAAAATTCCAATACCGCTTCGCGTCGTTCTAGAAGGCGTCCTCACAGACGCCGCCAAGCGGGTTGTGGGGTCGGGGTTCGCGTAAAAGCAGAAATCGGCCATGAAGCTCTGGCGAGTAGAAGATTCGCCCAACAGATGGCGCCAACGGTACTATTTATCGTCACAATACATTAGCCAGACACCTAGACAGGATCAGGAAGAATCTGTGTACACCTCATGGTTGACTTTATCGAGTGGATAAGGCAATAGCCGTTTCACTTTCTCGTACGTGTTAAAGAAATGATTCGGGCATACGATACCGATACAGATTCAAGAATACGCAAGCCCTATGATCCGAAAAAAATCTCATTGTCGGTTGGGTGTTTCAGAGTCTGCATTCTGAAAGGGACAATAATGTTCTCTTTATGGTATATCTTGAAAACTATCGAATTTGGGAATACATTACAGACTCACATCGAAGAGTACGCAATCTACAGAATGAGATGAAACTATTCACTTCGTTTCTAGGCGAGAGTTTGAATCTCTGGATGGGATCGATCAGAGATCCCAAAATACCTTTCTCATTTACGCGTCCTCGGCGAATATCTGATTGGGGCAAATATAGCTAAATCAAGAAGCTATGAGCAATATTTTTACCATATTTTGGTTATCTAATTTGTAAAGAGTATTTCAGACTTTGGCTAGATCCTTGCTGCTGTATTAATTGGAGTGGAACCTTACTCAGCATAATAATCCCAACATGGCTGTTTGTAGGACAATTCCCATATAGTGGATAACGATTCTTCAGCATTAGAACTAAGTAAATTCATTCAATCAGAAGACGATGTCATGCCAAAGTGTCTAGAATCCCTCTTGCATCATTCCAGCATTAGGAAATATACAAAAGATATAGTAGATGAGAATGCACTACCTCTTTTAATGGAAATATACCATCGCTACAAGCGCAACATAGAAATGAACATCAAACTGTGCCAAATTATATCTTATATGTCATTCGACAGAAATATTTTAGGACCAATGCATAAATCTGGTTAGTATTTGAAGTATTCTCTGTTCTCTGTCAACTAGAAGTCTGGTAAAGATTCAAGACGATTTTTTTGACGCCAATGCTGGACCTGGGGTCTAATTCTAACTGGATTTCGTTTGTTGGAAATTAGATCCTGGTGTCAAAATTATATTGACGGATCATATGTAGGACATCGAAATTGATTTCACAGGTCGAAATTCAGTTAGGATCAGGCAATAAAGGCACTGTACGAAAAGGAATTAATATATATATATATATGAGATATTTAATAATGTTGGAGGATATATAGAATTTTCTTTATATTACAGGGTGGATAGGAGTATTATATGATTGGACCAAACATGACGACGTTCGAATATCGATTCCAGCTGCAAGAGCCTTAGCGAATTTAGATTTTGATAGTCAATCGATTTATAACCGGTATATTTATCTGTTATACCCCATTACTAGAACTTCTAGTGGCCAAGAACTGGACGTAGTATTTGTCCATGGTCTCTTAGGTGGAGTTTTTTACACTTGGCGACAAAGAAAAAGGGGGAAGAACATCCTTAGTATTACTGGTAAGAAAAGGAATGTTTGCATATTATTGAAAACTACACAGACTTGGGTGAATCAATATATGGTATATCTGTCTGAACAGACAGGTTTAATAAACCTTTCTTTGCTGTATCATATTGATAAAATACTTTTTGTCTCATTTAGAAAGCATAACCCCGGGACTAGATTCAATGGATCAAATTATAAGAAACAAAACGCCAAAACAAATGCTGAAAAGCATCAAGGAAAAAATAGAATTCGATGACTCGTTCAAAGAATACGAAATTGTATGGGATGATATACCAGTATATACAAATACAAATGGTGATGATCCATACACTTGTCCAGCAACCCAGTATGTTAAGTATGTGTCATCTCTATAATTCAATGCTAATTCAGTTGCCACATAAATTCACAAAAGTAAATTATAAAAACCTAATATTAGTTGTAAGCACGCCATTTGATGTCAAGAGCGTGTTAGAAATGTTGCCGCTAGTAAAAACAGTAATATAGCTTTCGTTCATCCGGTCATAGACGAACAACCATGCATATCTGTTTCGTGATATTTGGCAACTCTTCAGCATGGTGTGGGCTTGGTCTCGATGAACAATGAAAGAAAGCTGGACAACTCTACTCAGAGTATAAGGTCTATCGAATTAAGACAGCACAAAATGCCATCTATTGCCAGAATCGACCACTATGAAAGTGAAAACAGCAAGCTGTCCATACTGTCTGCCAAATCGCATTGTCAGCCTACACCATGCTGAAGAGTTTCCAAACAGCTATCTATGGTTGGCCGTCACTGGTCAGATGAACGAAAGCTATATTAGTCGTTTGTTCAATGGACGAGGATCAGAATCGGCGGCTCTAGCAGCTCCAATGGACAGCTTGCTGTTTTCACTTTCATAATGGTCGATTCTGGTAATAGATGGCGATTTGTGCTGTCTTAATTCGATACTAAATACTTGTGATTTCTTCACATTTTTAGGTGCAAAGATAACAATGATTGTCACACTTACTGCTGGCCAAAAGATTGGCTACCAGAAGACTGTAGTAACTTGAGAATCTTAGGTGTGAATTATGATACCAGTCTTTCAATGTGGGCACCAATCTGTCCTACAGAAAAAGTGAAGTTCACTTTGGAAGAACGAAGTGATGATCTTATTGAGAGATTCTTAGGCTGTGGCTTAGGTGAAAAACCCATTGTTTGGGTAACTCATTCGATGGGTGGACTGATAGTTAAGAATATTCTTTGTAAAGGTAAATATGTTATAAGCTCAATTCAAAAGCAAATTGAATAGTGTAGCCGAGTAATAAAGTTTTTCAGCTTTTGAGAGCAAAGATGAAAATATTAAGAAGATTTGCTCTAATACAAAAGGGGTCATCTTCTATAGCACACCACATAAAGGATCTCGCTTAGCCAATCTCAGCCAAGCAACAGCACTGCTGTTGTGGCCTTCAGTTGAGGTACAAGAATTAAGAGAAAGTAGGTAGAGTTGTATTACTAAATTAGAGTAATAAATAATCTTTAAATATTTAGATTCCCCAAAACTGAGAGCTATTCATGAGAAATTCCTGAACATAGTCAAAGAAGCTCCAATGAAAATTGTTACTTTTGTGGAAACTAAGTCTACAGTGGTAACAGCATTGAAGTTCAATTTTTTATTGGTCGAGCCCAAATCTGGAAATCCAAGCATTGGCGAATATTATGAAATTCCTCAAGACCATTTGGGTATTTGTAAACCAATTTCAAAGTAAGCATAAAAATGTGTTTAATTTTACCTATTCGTAAAATGGCGCGTCTGATTCCTCAAAGATAGGTGTTTTAGTAGCAACTCCCATTCTAGTAACTTATCATTATTTCAGAAATTCATTCCTCTACCAAAAAGTACTACACGTGCTGCAAGAAATCCTCAAAGAAACTCAAAAGAAAAATCAAAAATTAGGTAACTAGTTGTACTTGTAAGAAAATACATACAATAAAAAATTGCATTACCTAATTGTTTTATTAAGCGTCTATGTGTTCCAAGGAGATTTGTTCACCAATATTTTCGCAAGTTGAAATTGCAAGCCAAGACAGAGTTGATAGGGATTGTTTATCACACACCATCTATATAATAAAGGAATGATTGATCTGAGAAAATGCACTTGTTAAAAAACTGTTTATTGAAAAAATAATTCAATCTATTTCTATTGTCCTACAGAACTCTTTAATGCCTTTTTTCTGGTCTATAGCTATGTTTGTAATCATGCCTATCCTCACCATTCCTATGAATTGGTGGTGACCTCTTCCTTTGATGCTGTTTATGTACAAATCTATCTCTATCATATTCTCCATGGAAACTTCTATCTCGATCAGTTCTTAAATGTAAATACCTTTTATTTTTTCCATTATCTGAATGTGGATCTCTCCTAGATCTATCATTTTCAGGGTGAGAATGCTTTCTATACTGTTCATCATCTGGAGAAACATACTTTTTATTTCTGTCATCATGATGCAGATATACTCTGTCTCTTTCTTTATCCTTATATGGATGAAGTCTTTCTTCTTTATAATCCTCTGAATGTGTCCTTCCTCTATCTCTGTATACATGCCTCTCGCAACTATGCTTTCTTTTTCTGTCACCATCATATCTGTGTTTATGATTTTTTTCACCTCTACTTCTACTAGAGTGTCTGCTATGTTCATGAGACCTTCCAGAATGAGAACTATGTCTGCCTATTGACGAACTTGGTCTTGATTTATCATGCACAACATCATTATAGGTACTATCATTTGTACAAGTGACTTCACTAATATCACAGGACATTTGGTTATATTGTTCATAATTTATGTAACCAGTTGAGTTATTTGTTTCTTCATGGTTTTTTTCTGGAATTTGTTCTTCAACAGTTACTTTAGAGTTTTGTAGGTAGTCAATGTATTGTTCCATTTGATTGTTAATTACTTCTTTCATAATTTCTGTATATTTTTTGTTTCTACCAGTATGTACAGATTTGTACTTCACTCTACGTCTTTTGGCGTCTCGCTCTTGCTGTAACTCCTCTTCATGTGTCAGACGCCTGTCTTCCTTCTCTTTCTCAGACGAATTTCTGAAAATATTTTTCTATTAGTAACTGAAACAAAAGGCAGGGAGAGCGTCTAGCAGTCCTTTTGTAAGCCAACGCTTTTAAAATCCCCTTGATAGTGCTAGTGCAGTAGGCGAGAGTAGGCAACATGCCAAGGCGTCAACCACGAGATGTTATAGATGCTATAATAAACTGATAGGATACCAATAGACGCTCACGGTATCGCGGGTGAGTTTTTCTTTGCGTGAATGCGTTACTGCTCATAGTCAAATCATATTAGCAATTTCCCCGAAATAATTGTAAAATCTGGTTTTATTAGTGCAAGTTGTTCAAGCGGGGTATTTAAAACATGGACGCATAAAATGGGTACAACAATTTTTGTGGGAAAACTTTTTATTTAACAACAAAGAATGAGAACACGTGTTTTTTTGGATCCAATGGAAAGAACGAAAAAACCTTTAATATAAGATTTTTAGGTATTTATGAGACCTACAAATTGAGACCACACGTAAAGAGATCCGACTAATAGCAAAAATGTTATGGCCGAAAAACGAGGCAAAATGCAGGTTTTTGCACTTGTTCGTAATGTGACGATAATTTCATGCAACTACTTGAAATTCTTCAAATCCGATTCTTACTTCTTAATAACAACAATAAAATTGGAGTATATTGGTCAAGTAGATTTTAGAGCATTTCTAATTGTTTATCACAAAACACATGTTTTCCGGCCATCAGGGGTTACGTTTTTTTCTTCTAAACAAATTTAAACATTTCGTATCTCATTTTTAAACAATGTGTCTATCATATTTTGTTGTGAATTACTCACAAATACGAAATGTTTAGAAGAAAAAACGTAACCAATATTTTTATGCATAAAAATAACATTTATCTTCCGAAATGGTTTGCGATTCATATTGGCAAGGTAAACTAGTATATTTTGCTATAAAATGCTGCTTAAACTGACCCTGCATATTGCTCAATAAACTAGTAGTGATGGCCGGAAAACAGGTATTTTGGGAGAAACAATTAGAAATTCTCAAAACTACTTGACCAATCTACTCCAATTTTGTTGTGGTTATTGAGAAGTATGAATCCTATGAATTTGAAGAATTTCAAATATCTGCGAGAAACCATCGTCGCATTACCAACAAGTGCCATTATTTGTGGACTAATAAAGAGTTTTCCAACGAAAATTGGTGTACCCATTTTATGCATCCATGTTTTAAATACCCCCTGAAAGGGCGCTCATTCTGAACATATCAATATTTAACATACATATTAAACTCAGTTGGAACTGGAGGTCCTTCAGTGTGCTCTACAGCATGGTTATATAATGCTAGCCTCTCATCTGCAGAATATGTGGAAAATAGTCGGTCAGATGTTCTAGGATCTGGGTCATAGCCATTCCAAGCTGCAGAAAAAAGTAAATTCAATGATGTTGGAGTACCAAGATCTACACATGTTGAAAATACTCATAAGTAGTAAAGGAAAGCGCTGGGTTTCAGAGATTTTATTTTGATAGTCTGACTTTGGAATAACATTGAATTAGGATACATTTTACAGTACAACTATTGTGGTTGTTTTAGCAATATCTAAGATTGCCTACTTTCAGATACTTTAGAAAATGTGACCAGTGTTAGCAAGAGTGTTGTTGCTAACGATTTGGGGAACATGGGAAAAATAGTAACAGTTAAGGTGTAAATAACAATATAAAAATAATTTAAAATCTTTGTATATATATATATATATGTATCGTTTTGTGATGATAGGACTGATGTCTATATGCAGTCTACTTAAACATATCGTTCATTTGGAAGAAGAGGGTTACATCTCTAAATTTTTTATTTTCCGTTTTATTGCGTTAATAATTCAGAAAATGTGCTTACATTTATGTGGAAAATGGTTACATCTGTAGTGGTAGTCGTTTGCCGAGAGATGGTAGATGTAACCATTTTTCACATAAATGTAATCATTTTCTGAATTAACTCAATAAAACGGAAAATGAAAAATATTTGAAATGTAGCCCTCTTCTTCCAACTGTATGATATGTACTTGTAAAATTCCAAAGGATATCAGACAAATCAGATGTGATACAAGGTAAAAAAGCATGTTTTCTTGCAGCCACTGTGGCACCTCACCCTTCACAGGTACTCTGAGGCTAAAGATATTGGAAACAGTAGAATCTCTAACATCCAGCCCTTTCCTTACAATGCCTATCTCAGCTCTTCTGACAATTTTGGTTCTCTATTATCACAAAGATTTTGATAGCGATGGAAAACTCACCTTAAGCTCAATAAAAATGTGCTATAACTTGTTTTTACTCAGTTATATTGAGATTAGCTTTTATGCAATTCCTCCATACTTAACATACGAATTGGTTACATCAAAAGATACTTGTCAGAAGTAGAATAGCAAGTATGTATGTAAAATGTGAACTTACAATACCATATAGTCACTTCAATAAGAAAACTACCCTATGTTCATTTTTTAAATCATTTCAGATTAAATTACATAGTCTTTTACAAAGACAACATGCAAAATTTTGTGAGGAGTACAGTTAATTAGATGTTCTATATTTGAGGCTTAAATTGTCTAATGCCACTTATTATTTAGAGATTTCAAAACACTTCATAAGAGGCACACAATTATTGGAATTATCAATACTAAAAAGCCTGTTTTAGGTAATAAAATAACTAGTCATTTTATATAACCTTGAAAGTAGTCAGGGTTGGATAATTTTCTTATACTGACAATATATGGAATAATCTGCTCCATGTAAATATATTTATTAAGGGTATTTACAATACTAGCCTCTTTAAAAAAGGATATCTGAAAAAGGATATAATTTCTTTTAGGTTCAATGTTCTTATTGAGTAGAAAATGATTAGATCTGAAAAAAATATATCATGTAACACTGTTCTTGTGTTTTATAAAACTTAAACTAACCTGCCACAAATCGAGGATTGACTGAGCGAATTTTGTTGAGGGCTTCAATTTTCTCAAGGTTATCTAAAAAAATCAAATATTATTAAAACATCAAATGCTACAATCCAAAGATCTTACTTAGGGATATCGAGCTCTTTGGATCAGCTGAGGGTTCTGATAAAAAAGCTTCCGTCAAGCTGTACCCTTGGCTTGTGAGCCTGCATCTTTCTACATGTGGTACTACACTTTCTAGTTGAACAGTATGACCCGAATTGATTGGGCACAATGTCCTATCATCATTCTAAAAGTAAGCAGTTATCAGTCAAACCTTCGGCAAATTATAAATTATGAAAATATTACTTCTAGAACTTTTTTGGCACTCCAGCCCAGGTAACCTAAAATCGAATCTACTTTATCCTTAAACGATGTGATGCACTGATCTAGACTCTGCAATTGCTTCTTCCTTACTTCTACGTTGAAATTCATTTCTGATTGTTACAAAACACTCCTTAACCAACATGCTATAAATTATGTTTTTATTAGCGTAGGCTACAATACAATATGAAAGGAATCGGCGGCACTGACATTTGGCGTCACAATAAGTTTGACAGAGGTGCTTTCCAGTGTCTCGTTCGGGTTACCCGGAGCTACCCACCACCTGTCAATACCGTTCCTGTCACAAAATAATAATCAAATCCAAGCGAATAACCAAAATTTCTGTGTTATGTGCCGCGGTTAATATGGTTCAAGATGACACACGGGTTGATGACGTCAGTTACTCGAATCCCTTGAACGCCTTGGTTTTAACCGCGGTTTTGTTGCAAGTTGTTTATTTTAGAAAAGTGCGTATATAATCTCTGATTATTTTTATTATCACTTAATAATCGGTGCTTTTTTGTCTACAACGGTGTATGGAAAGTTTAAATAAGAAACCTTTCATAATATTCGTGGAAGAAATGTTTTTTTTTTCAGAAAAATTTTTTTAATGATGGAACCATGGTTTTGTAGCTATGATAACTTTTAATTCTCTAAAGTTTTCCGAATGTCAAACAAAAACATTTATTGATTTAGCAGAAATGATTAAAAAACTATGAAAAATGATTTAGCAAAACCGTATACAGGTGGACATCATCCAGTGTGTTAAATGGCCATATTTTAATATTCTTGTGGTATACCTATGGCTACACAGGATACTTTGTTAAACATAGGAACTAGATTGAAAGTGTTCCCAACAACAGTAATGAGTATAAAAAGTAAGGAGCTCCACTTTATGCTAACACTGAAGTCAGCCTGTATCAAGTTTCCCAAAAATGAGGCTGAAGTACAATAACAATATCCAATACTCGGGAAAATTCTAACTTGTCAGTAGATGTCTTATGGGGATTCGGTCTCAAAACTTCCAAAATCCGCCACCAGAGGCGCTGGCGTCGCGCGCCATTGACAGGTTGTTGGACGGAATCTGTAATCGAAATTCATGAGTTGGGGATTCCGCCGCTAGATGGCGCTGTCAAACCAAACGGAATCTGTGTGTCATTGGACACCTGTCATGCGTCATTGGGCATCTCACGCATAGATGGCGTTAAAACGTCATCTGTCATACGTCATTGGACACCTGTCATTGATGGGTTGGGCATCTCGCGCATAGATGGCGCCGATTTGTTTGGCGCTGTACAAACCTAACGGAATCTATGCGTCATTGGACAGCTGCCATTGATGGGTTGGGCATCTCGCGCATAGATGGCGCCGATGTCGCACCTGTCTGGTGTTGGCGTGGATTACGGGGGGCAACGTGTATACAGGGGTGCATCGAAAAATAGCGGATCGATGGACCGACGGTATATCGTTAAATCGTATATAGCAAGGCGTGACCTAAATAGCGTGGTGGGCTCCTCTGGTCGGTCGGTCGGTCGGTCAGAATGTCTCATAACCTGTATACGATGTACTGTTATTATTATACAGGATGATACCGTTCAAAATGAAAATAGTATAGACATTCTGACAATTATTTCGCAAACCAGAGGTATTTTCAATAAAACTACAATAATACGTTTAATATTTTATTGAAAATAGAAAAAACTACATAGGTAATATGATATTTGAAAACCAGTGGCGTAGACGTTCAACATTTCTCTGGGTACAGGAAAATTGTCCGTTGGTGTGGCATGGATTGGAATCAGCAACAAAGTTTCCAGTAGCACACGGTGTACCATCATACTTGCAAACATCAATAATGTTGGGAAAAACACCAAAAATGTGACATTTCTTGAGTAAAAAGTTTGCTTTCTGTTCTCCACGAACGTAGACATAGTCAGCCGCATATATCACCTTATTTTTAATTATTTCATTTAACTTGGAATATTTAACGTCGCCGGAAGAATATTTAAGCCCATGGAAATTCTTCTCCAAGTAAGCGACAGTTTTCTTGTCTTTAGTATTTAATGTAGAAAAAGGTTGCGGAGGTGTAAAGATGTAATGACTTTTCTTGAAACCAATTTCGATACATAGTTCTTTAGGTACGAATAATCCGTCAACTGTAAAGCCTTGAATGTCAACAAACGCGATCCTCATGATGTCTGATGCGGAACTGAGAGTCCTTCGTTGCTTACGAGATGGTTTTAATAACTTCGGTGAGGGGGAAGTACTCGATTAAGCAGTCATGTATAATGATGCAGTAGGCCTTGGTGTTGGTTGGAAAGCCAGTATCGGCTTCGATATCCAATCTAACATCAACAGTTGATGATTTCATGGTTTCCTCTTGTTTGGAACAGTCAATAACAAACAAAGCGCGATTTTTAAAAGCGGTATAATCTAAAAGACATCTCTTCAGAGGAGAAGAAGAAGTTGTATAGCTGGTTTGAAAGTCGCTATAGTTGAAATGAGCTTCAGTAAAGTGATTGTTTGCAAAGTCCAATTGCATACGTTCGTTGGGATAGTATTCACCATTTAAAGATACTCGAATACTAGCAGCATTCACGTGATCAAACAGGGTAGGGTCTGAGGTTGCGACGTCACGTTTACCGGTTTGGAAACATACTATAATGAAACGTGGTCTTTCGATTGCGGTGCTAGTTTTAACTGACCATATTTCTCTTCTCGCATCTGCGGTAATTGCAGGCAGTTCATTCAGATCCCATTTTCTAAATGGTATAAGTATCGGCTTATCAGTTTGAATAGCTTTCAAAAGTTGTTCTTTCACATCATCACTCGGGTAAATATGTTTGATTTTCAGTTCCATGCTTTCAATAGTTATTTTCGCTGTCGTCGTCGTTCCAGTTTTTTCCTTGATAATGATACAATCGTTATCGTTTCTAGCTCTCACAAATCTGAGAGTTTGTCTGCCACACGTAATCATAGGATAATCATTGAAAATGTTGAAAATATGTTTAAGCGGCATTAGCAAGCTAAAAGACTTGTTATGTGTTGACGCCATTATAGGTGTTGAAGGATAGTTCCATCCAGCTATAGCCATATGATTTGAGTCTTCCTCACTGTAACATACGTAAGCTCGGACAGTACTTACAATACCAGGATCACGTACTGTTTCAACTTCTCTAGCGGATTCACTGTAAGTGCAAGAGTCAAATAGGAAGGCACCAAAGTTTGGAGCTAAAGATACATCTCCTGCTCCTCCTCCTCCAGTTATTTCAACTTTTCCTTTGATAGATAGAAGGGAAGCGTTCATTGCAAAGAACGAATCTACTTGATTGATGCTAAATTCCACAACATCATTACAATTAAATGACCTGATGAACGGCGTATAAGATCTATACTCAGCCTTGCGAATAGATTCATCGAATGCTGGAGATCGATATAGATCAAACATCGGAGAAGTATGTGATGCTGCTGCTGCTGCCTCCTCAGTTTTTCTCTTTTTGTACATGATTCTTGTTGTTGTTGACATGATATCCAAGTGAGCGTAGAAACAGGATATTTGATGTAGTTAGTAGTAGATGTCGTCGCTTAGGTGCTTGGGGTAATACTGAAGTTGCCTTGGAAGCACCACTATGTCTTATAATCACTAATCCCATCTGCGCTTCGCTCTCAACTCCAACACAAGAGTACTAGTTTCACCTTGAAAGTTTACAGGACGACCGTCTTGATCTAAAGCCAACACTGTGATGTTGGTTATTTCTTGTTTCGGTATAACAGGTAGATATAGTAAATTTACAGGTGTTTCGACTATAGCGTATCCAGGATCGGCTGTCACAGCAAATTCGTAGATCGTGTGTGCAGGCGTGTCTCCGTCAAAGGCTCCCGACGTAATGTTAGCATCAAAGTGTATGGTTGATACTTTTATTATGTTTACAGGTAAATCAGAAGAATGCTTTTGACCAGGATTAAGAACTTTTTTCGAGAATCCCAATAGATGTCCAAGATTATTCGGTTCTGTAAAAACTATTTTATAATACTTGCTAAAGATTTCACATTGCAGTGTATTATTGTTAGGTTTTAGAGAAAAATAATCATCCGGAGGAGCAACTTCATTTTCAAGATTCATTTGCGTTCGTATAAATGTTTCTATGTCGGTAATTTCATAACAACCTGTCGGAAACTCGATGACTTTTAATTGACCACCACCACCACCTATCCGGTCGATATAATAAAATTTATCTCCTTTTTCAATATTCGGTATGGAATTGTATGAAGTAAAAGACCTAAGCGCCAATTCATAATCTTTTTTCGGATCCAACACTATCGGTGTTGAAGGACGAAATGAAAATATATGAGTAGTGCTATTGACTCTCAACAACTGCGACATGATGAATGAAAAAATATAGCTGTGTACTAAGCATTTATTCAAGTTTTTTTTTTTTGTTTATTTTCGAATGGATAATTTACAGAAATAACAATTTGCTTGAGCAGTAGCCGGTCCATCCCAATGTGTTGTCCAATCAGGTCTGTTGTAGTGAACATAGCATGGAAGTCGTATTTGAAGATCAAAATTGGATGTGTATTCTGCAGGCAGTTTGTGCCATATACTCAATAATTCTGCAGGTCTCACATTGCTTATTAAATATTCCAGCGGCGGAATATTCTTCTCAAACTCTTCTAATGTAAATTCCGATAATGTTTTATTATCCATCGTTGTTGTTGTTATTGTATAGAAATTTCAAACACAATTGTCCGCAATTAACTTGATTATAAGTTTGGTAAGGATCGTTGTTGTAGAAAATTTTAGCGTTTTTCAGATATCGAACAAGTTCCTGTGGAGGCTTCAGGTTACCAAATGAATCGAAATACTCAACGTTGTTGTTTATCTTTTTATAAGCTACCCAATGAGTTCCGTTGTTTTGTGAAATATCTAAGTTCACGACGGCGCATTCTCTTTTACGTGGACCGTCTCGTGGTAAAGTGTCACGCATGAAGACACCTCGGAAATGAGGTATGTTCAAGAGCTTCGCATATTGCTTTATTTCATAATCATAAAGCGCTTTCTTGGGTAGCTTGATGTTTAGTTTTTTTGACTTTTTTTTTTGAGGTACAACCCATAACCACCTTTAGCATTTTTTCTCAAATACAATCCTTTGCCCAAAGACTCCATAGCTTTGTTATGGCGATGGTCTTCCTCCAATTTCTTTTGTGCATTCTTGGCATCAACGACCGTTTTGGCCACACCTGCAGCTCCCCCTGCGAGCGCCCCCAAGGCA